GATTACTGTGTTACCATTTGAAGGGGGTAATTCAACAATAAAATCCATGGACAGGTTAGACCAAGGTCTCTCGGGAACGGGTAACGGATGCAACAGCCCACAAGGAACTCTACGGGAGGATTTCATACAGGCACAAGTAGTACAAGCACTTATATAGTCAGTGACATCCTTTCGTAAGGAATCCCACCAAAAACACCGTTTTGGAAATACCAGGATGTCCAGCGGTCTTAGTATCATGATATAATGACATAATATCCCGTCTCTCAGGAACATCAACGAACAGTTTATCATTAGGCCTCTCGCTAGGTGCCATGCTTTGTTTCGCTTGTATGGCCTGCAAGAGGGACGAGGAAATAGACAAAATAGTAGTAGCTATTATCCTGTCTGGGGAATGACAGGAGTAACATCAATCTCCTGTTTGTCAGTAGTTTCGAACTGTCTGGACAGAGCGTCTGCTTTAGTGTTGCGATCACCTGGCCTATAGGTGATAATAAAATTGAAACGGGACAAAAATAGTGACCACCTAGCCTGCCTGGAAGACAATCTTTTGGCTTCGCTAAGGTAGGATAGGTTCTTGTGATCCGTAAAAATGAGGATAGGATCCTTAGTTCCTTCTAACAAATGTCTCCACTCTTTAAGTGCTAAAATAATAGCAAGGAGTTCGCGATTACCCACATCATAATTTTTCTCTGCTTTGGACATTTGTTTAGAAAAGAAGCCGCATGGATGCAATGGCTTCTCAGGCGACTCTCTTTGGGACAAGACAGCACCTACCCCAATATCCGAAGCATCAACTTCAAGAATATAGGGCAGTGAGGGGACAGGATGCTGTAAAATAGGTGCAGAGGCGAACGTAGTTTTAAGAAATTCAAAAGCCTGAAGTGCCTCGGTAGACCAAACACGAGTATTGCCATCCTTTTTAGTCATACGGGTAATAGGTGCTACAATGGACGAGAAACCTTTGATAAAACGTCTATAATAATTGGAGAACCCAAGAAAACGCTGAATAGCTTTCAGACCTTGCGGTAGAGGCCATTCTATTACAGCAGCTAGCTTCTGGGGATCCATACGAAAACCTTTAGCGGAAATCAAATACCCCAAGAACTGGACTTCGGTTTGGTCAAACAGACATTTTTCTAGCTTGCAATAAAGACCATTAGCAAGAAGGGTCTTCAAAACTGTCGTAACATGTCTGTGATGAGTGTGTATATCTGCAGAATATATTAAAATGTCGTCCAAGTATACGATAACAAATGTGTGAATAAAATCCCTCAATACATCATTAATAAATTCTTGGAATACTGCTGGGGCATTGCAAAGCCCAAATGGCATAACAGTGTATTCGTAATGACCGGATCTAGTGTTGAATGCAGTCTTCCATTAGTGATTTTCCTTTATACGTATCAAATTGTATGCATTCCTAAGGTCTAATTTAGTGAACACAGTGGCATGTTTCAGCCTGTCAAATAATTCTGTAATCAAAGGTATAGGGTATGCATTTTTGATAGTGATTTTGTTTAGACCTCTATAATCTATACACGGTCTTAAATCACCTTCTTTCTTCGATACAAAGAAGAACCCTGCTCCAGCTGGAGAAGAGGATCTCCTAATAAACCCTTTTTCTAATGATTCCTTGATGTACTCCTCCATGACACGGTTTTCTTGAACCGATAAGGGGTACACCCTGCCCTTTGGAGGTATAGTGCCAGGCAACAAGTCAATAGCGCAATCATAGGGTCTGTGAGGCGGTAATTTCTCAGCCTCCCTTTTATCGAAAACAGTCTTTAGAGATAAATACTGAGGGGGTATAACCATAGACAAAGGAGGACTGGTAGGTACCTCAATAGAATTCAAAGGTGTGACTTCCAACGTACAAGACTCGTGGCAGGCCTTACTCCATGATTTTATTTGCCCTGTCTCCCAGTCAAAAATGGGATTGTGAGCACGTAACCATGGATACCCTAATACTAACTGTGAAGAGGGAGAGGTGATAACCTGGAATCGAATGGTTTCGTAGTGTAAAACCCCTGTGTACATGTGTAGTGGTTCAGTCTCATGAGTAACAACTGGAGAACTTAATGGTCTACCATCTATGGCCTCAACGGCCAAGGGTATCTCCTTCTCTCTGATGGGAATGTTGTTTCTCTTTATAAAGCCAGAGTCTATAAAATTTTCAGCTGCCCCAGAGTCAACCAGAGCATATATGTTGTCAACTATACAAATCTCTCCCATATATAAAGAAACCGGGAGAAGCAAGCGGTTAGGAGGCAATTTAGGAGACTTAGATATCACACCCAAGGCCAGTCCCCTATAAGGTCTTAGGTGCGAGAGTTTTCCGGGAGTAAAGGACATTCCTTTACCATATGGTCTCCTACCACAGTATAGGCAGAGTCCCTCCCTTCTCCTATGTAATTTCTCAGTATCAGAGAGTTTGGCAACCCCTAATTGCATAGGTTCCTCCTCAGACACTTTAACACTCTCTGGTATATTAACTCTGGGGTTAATGGGTGTAACAAAACGTCTATTCCTGTTCTTGGTATAGAGCCTGTCACGAATTCTATTATCAATATCAATGAGGTAATCGATAAGGTCCTCTAAGGCAATAGGAAGCTCCTTAGCTGCTACCTCATCCAATATCGTATCTGACAAACCTTCCATAAAGGCAGTAGTTAACCCATTGTTGGTCCAATCTACCTGCGAAGCAAGAGTGCTAAACTGAATAGCATAATCAGCCACAGACCTAGAACCCTGTTTAATTCTCATTAATGCTCTCGCGGCATTCTTTGACCTTTTCATTGTGTCAAAAGTTCTACGAAAAGCCGTAAGAAAACTGTTGAAATCATGTACCATAGGCCCATTAGCTTCCCAAATAGGATTTGCCCACTCAAGTGCCTTATCGGTAAGTTGGTGCATAAAGAACCCAACCTTAGACCTCTCTGTGGGAAATGAACGTGGATACATTTCAAAGTGAAATTCAATCTGATTAATAAACCCTCTGCAAGTCTTAGAGTCCCCTCCATACCTAGGAGGAGGTGTTAAATGGGCCGAAGTATTAGGCAAAGTAGATACTTCAGGGAGAAGGGGCGTAGGAGGGTTAGGTGTAGTTGCTGGAACGGTTCTAGCTAGGAGCGTCTGGAGAGCCTGAGCTATTTGATCCATACGGTGATCCTGCTCTACAAATCTTGCCTCATGGGACGCCATCTGTTGAGCTAAATCTGCGGGGTCCATGGCCCTATCGTAATGTAACGAGAATATACCCCTACACGCAGGATCCAGCTAAACAGAGGCAAATACAGAGGAGAGATACGTCTACCGGACCTTAGAATGGCCGGACTTGACGTATATGAGAGAAGACAGAGCCAGGAACAAACCGAGGTCAAGGGCACAGAGAGACAGCGTAAACTAGGACAAGCGGGGGTCTGGTACACGGAAAACAGCAAGCCGGCAAACAGTACAGATAAGGATAAAGCGAAAACGAAGTCAGAATACGAAGCCAAAGTCAATACGAGAAAACACAACTGAACACCACAAGCGCTAAAGGGAACTGAAACAGAAACCACGATAGGGCAAGGAACAAAGGGAAGAAGGTGAGTATAAATACCTAAACATCTAATTTGATTGGTCCCTGTCACATCCACGCCCCCAAAAGGTAAGTGTATGGGGAGTGTGGCATGACAGGGACCAATGGGATGCCTTTTCCAATTTAGGCACCCACTGTCCCTTTAAGAGCGCGCCCGAGACTCGCGGCGCGCTCTTAGTTTCAGGCGGGACACGTGACCGCCTCACGCGGTCACTGCCCGCCCTCCATCCGAAGTAGTTGGATGAGCCGCGCGCGGCTCGTGCAGCCGCAGGACCGCGCGCGGCTTGAAGAGAGGACCGCGACCGGCCCCCGGTTAAGGTAAGTAACGCTACACAAGCACAACCACGGTATGGCGTCGATGACATCACTTTACACTGATCACACTCACAGAAAGGGAGCCACCTTTTCACAGATTTGGTAAGCTTACAATTTACTTATAAATGTTTATTTGGTGCTGTATGTAGCTGAACAAAGACCCAGGAGGGGTGAACTGTATTTTCGGGAACAGATCATTTCATCATGTTGACTTCTACATACAGTAGGGGAGCACTTTCTGTATGCTGCCCTTCAATTTGTAAAAATGATGTGTCCTAGAAGCATAAATGAGGATATCAAAATTCACAGCAAAACTGCAATGTTTGCAAAACAAATTCAATAAAAATACAACAAAGTATTGAATACATTTTCAATGGCACCAAATTGGTGTGCGGATATACTATATAATTCCAAGTTAGGAAATTAATCAAAACACCAAGTATGAGAACTCAAAGGGCAAGTCCCTAACTTTGACCTGTGAAATCTTTTTACAGCAGTAAAACTCATCAATACAGACAGAAATGTCTAAAATAAAAATGTCTGTGTGACGCATCAAAAAGGCTCTGGTCTGGTACACACTTGTTTCACTGTGCATCATGTGCAAAATGTTAAGTCTCTTTGGCATGAGAGGTACGTGATGGAGCACAGTTAATGATAGTGTCACCCACGAGCTAGGAAATTAGCTGCCTAGTGAATGTTTTAGGTCCTGTTGTATCTTCTGATTTCATTCTAGAGAATAAGCTAGAACTAATTCTGAATAATTAAAAGAACACTATAGTCACCAGAACAACTTCAGCTTAATGAAGCAGTTTTGGTGAATAGATCATGCCCCTGAAGTGTCACTGCTCGATTAACTGTAATTTAGGAGATAAATCACTTTTGTTTATGTTAAGTTAATGCAGCTCTTGCCACACCTCCCCTGACTGTGACTGACACAGCCTGCATGAAAACAAAAATGGTTTCATTTTAATCAGATATTAAGTTACTTTAAAAGTTTTTATCTTCTGTTCTGTAAATTGAACTTTAACTACATACAGGAGGTTCCTGCAGGGTCTAGTAAGCTATTAACAGAGCAGGAAATAACACATTTTAAATTAAACAGGATTTGCAATAAAGGAAGTGTAAACATTAGACAACTCTTTACAGGAAGTGTTTAGGAAGGCTGTGCAAGACAAATGCAGGGAGGTGTGACTAGTGCTGCATAAACAAAGAGATTTAAATTCTAAATGGCAGAAAATTGAGTAGTGACACTGCAGGGCCATGACCTATACACCCAAATTAAGCTGTGGTTGTTCTGTGACTATAGTGTCCCTTTAAATAGACTTGAATTTTTTTTATTTTTAGGGGCTGCCCAATATACAAAATGTTAATTCACAATCAAAACACTGTTTTAAGTATTCTTTATTTTTTATGAAAAAATTAAAAACAAGACAAAAAACTATACAAATCAAAGAGCAATGAGTAGAGGCAAGGATGTTTTGTAAAACTAGCAAAAAGGCAATCAAACAATAATTGACTGCAGCACGCATAAACAAATAAAGGCAGGCATGAACACACGAAGTGGCTGATAAAATTTTATGGGAATTAGCATATAAACGATGTAGTTCCAAAGCTCATTTGACCCACTAGTAAGCCAACACATATTGTTACCACTTCACCACTTTCTTTTCACTAACTAGCTCCCCATGAGGTGCCGTTGCATCAGGCGGCAGGAGAGCCAGATAAACTGGGGTCTCGGCACCTTCATCTGGAGACTTTGGAGCATTTGGACCCGCCATATCAGTCCTCACCCACCCTGGACAACAGGCATTAAGTAGGATTCCATCCCCTTTCCTTGTTGCGTCTAACTCTCTTGCTTGGATCCTGGAGAGCACGGTCACTCCTATTTTAGATGTTCCGTAAGCAGTGTTTGGCCAGCCTTCTTTTTGATGTACATCTTGCTTGGCATCTTCTACAAACTTTTCCATAAGTTTGACCAGTTCCTCCTCTGTGATCGACTCACTGCGAAAGACCTTCTGTAACTCTGGACTGCAATGTCCCAAAGAATCGTAGCTAATCATGCTGGACACATTGACCACTCTCCCTAAGGGAACAGAAACATTTATTATTTTAGTAACATTAATGCAGTTCTACACCACTCTCAGCGGTAAGAGGAGGCACAGGGATCTCTGTGCACCATCACCTCTGAAATTAATTTCAGCATGTGCTTAACCAACAAGATTCACATTTCCAAAGGATTATCACAGACCAATCATTAAAGGAACATTCCAAACACCATAACCACTATAGCAGTTTGATCTCTGCATGGGATTTGCTTAAGCTAACTCTCCTCAGATAAGCTCTGACCAATCTCTGCAAAGCCAGAGAAAGTCTGTGCCAGGAAAAAGGCAGAGAGCTTGCAAAGCTGGTTTTAATATCCCCCCCCACAGAAACCATATGGAGACAAATACATGCATATTTCCTCGGGGGAGGTGAGGGAGAGGGAATATCTACTAAATAGTTAAAAATATATAAATACATTTCCAATAAAGTACTCCTGTAACGTTTTTATGTGATGTTCTGTTTTATTTTCAGCTTATAGCTAAGATTAAGTAAATGGCTTCACAATCCATTTCAGTCAAGGCACAGCCAGGGCACCCAATGCAAATGAGGAGAAGCACAAGAATTGTATATTTCTTCTCTCTCTGTATACTTTCTCTATGGTGACAGCCAGGTGCAAAGGACAACGCTTATAACAATGACTGACAGGGAGCTAAGATGGAGGCGCCCAGTTACAGGACATAGATGTATTTCTAGATTTCTAAATGTATTTTAATTTTATGCACTTCTCAAACATACATTTGCTAAGTACATGGAATAAGTAAACATAATATTAGAAATCCAAAGAAATGGCTGTAGTACTCCAATATATGATATAACAAATTTTGATCTAAGAAGAAATCAAATTGCTATTTGAAGTAAAATATTATCCCCCCATTTTGTGGCACATTTGGGAATCACTTTTTTTTTTTTTTTACCTTCTTTTGTATCAACATCATACAGTTGCAAGAAAAAGTATGTGAACCCTTTGGAATGATATGGATTTCTTCACAAATTGGTCATAAAATGTGATCTGATCATCATCTAAGTCACAACAATAGACAATCACAGCGATGTCAGCCAACTCGAGTCCAATCAATGAGATGAGATTGGAGGTGTTGGTTACAGCTGCCCTGCCCTATAAAAAACACACACCAGTTCTGGGTTTGCTTTTCACAAGAAGCGTTGCCTGATGTGAATGATGCCTCGTACAAAAGAGCTCTCAGAAGACCAACGATTAAGAATTTTTGACTTGCATAAAGCTGGAAAGGGTTATAAAAGTATCTCCAAAAGCCTTGCTGTTCTTTAGTCCACGGTAAGACAAATTGTCTATAAATGGAGAAAGTTCAGCACTGCTGCTACTCTCCCTAAGAGTGGCCGTCCTGTAAAGATGACTGCAAGAGCACAGCACAGACTGCTCAATAAGGTGAAGAAGAATCCTAGAGTGTCAGCTAAAGACTTACAAAAGTCACTGGCAAATGCTAACATCCCTGTTAGCGAATCTACAATACGTAAAACACTAAACAAGAATGGATTTCATGGGAGGATACCACAGAGGAAGCCACTGCTGTCCAAACAAAACATTGCTGCACGTTTACAGTTTGCACAAGAGCACCTGGATGTTCCACAGCAGTACTGGCAAAATATTCTGTGGACAGATGAAACCAAAGTTGAGTTGTTTGGAAGAAACACACAACACTATGTGTGGCGGAAAAAAGGCACAGCACACCAACATCAAAACCTCATCTCAACTGTGAAGTATGGTGGTGGAGGCATCATGGTTTGGGGCTGCTTTGCTGCGTCAGGGCCTGGACGGATTGCTATCATCGAAGGAAAAATTAATTCCCAAGTTTATCAAGACATTTTGCAGGAGAACTTAAGGCCATCTGTCTACCAGCTAAAGCTCAACAAAAGATTGGTGTTGCAACAGGACAATGACCCAAAGCATAGAAGTAAATCAACAACAGAATGGCTTAAACAGAAGAAAATACGCCTTCTGAAGTGGCCCAGTCAGAGTCCTGACCTCAACCCGATTGAGATGCTGTGGCATGACCTCAAGAAAGCGATTCACACCAGACATCCCAAGAATATTGCTGAACTGAAACAGTTCTGTAAAGAGGAATGGTCAAGAATTACTCCTGACCGTTGTGCACGTCTGATCTGCAACTACAGGAAATGTTTGGTTGAAGTTATAGCTGCCAAAGGAGGTTCAACCAATTATTAAATCCAAGGGTTCACATACTTTTTCCACCTGCACTGTAGCCCATGGATCAGCGCAGCTAAGAGGAATAGGCCTTGACAGAGCCAGGAGGTAGGCATAGCAGCCACAGGAATTTAGTGACAGCTAGCATGCTGGGTAGGGCGGAGCCATAAGGGGAGTATTTATACCAGCCATTATATGAAGTGGCCATTTTAACTGAACCTAAGCTTACCTGTCAGTTGTCCCTCCCACCCTCCCTGTATTTGGTTAGGTTAGTTGATTTCCCGTTTTTTCACAGCGGCGGGGAATGGCCTGGTTAAATCGGAGGGTAGATGGAGGAGAAAGTGGGCATCCTGAGGTTTAGTGTGGATTGGGCAGTGTTGCACGTGGTTGGTAGGTTCGAGCCCGTCGGTGGCTCCGAACCTGGGGGTGTGGTGGTGTCTTGGTACACCCTACACTGGAACTGGTGGGTAGCGGTGTCTTGGTACACCCCTACAATGGATATGGTGGGTAGCGGTGTCTTGGTACACCCCTACAATCGATATGGTGGGTAGCGGTGTCTCGGTACACCCCTACAATTTAACCTGGTGGAAATGTGGTCAAATTGGACGGCCAGTTTCTGTGTTAACATGTTATTTAGATTGTTATCTATTGTTATTATTGTGGGGTCATTGCTAGGGGTATGTTATGTATATGGGGGAGGTTAACATTATTAAGATTTGTTGGCAATGACCCCATTTGTTCCTTAATTATTTTATTAATAATTTAATAAAGCTGTGGACAAATTATTTCCAACAGTATAACCTGTGTCCGTGTCTTAATTGGGGTTTGGGTAAGGTTAGCGCATATGCCGGCAAATCCGACTGTGCGCCTGTCATGTGAATGTTTACATGGTGTGTTTATTAAAATCATGGCAACATTTCATTCTTTGTGTGTTATTAGTTCAAGCAGACTGTGATTGTCTATTGTTGTGACTTAGATGATGATCAGATCACATTTTATGACCAATTTGTGCAGAAATCCATATCATTCCGAAGGATTCACATACCTTTTCTTGCAACTGTAGTTGGCATTTAAATCTCTTTTCAACATATCTTACTATGTGATTAAGCAATTCTGGTAATCTCACCGTGTGGCTTAATTAATGGCAGCAGTTCCTTGCAAACATCTCTAGTGCCATAGAAGTCGGTTTTCATTGTGACTTCAGCTTGGGTACCAAATGGAGTAGTGTCAGCAACTGGTAGCAAAAAATAAATACCAGAATTTTATTAGAATAAGTTACAAGAACATTGCAGAGATGCCATCAGACATTTGACACAACCCAGAGTTTGCCCGCAGCGGATACAGTGTATCTGTGTGTGTAGTGGATGCCAAGGGTGGGTGTGTCTTGTGGAAGATGTGTGTAGTGGCTGTGGCTCGAGAGAGTTGGAAAGAGCTTCTAGAAGCTGAAGATCGCGTGTGCTTTGCCCCCATTTTACTATACAAGCTGCTGGGGGCCTGCAGGAGGAGTGGTGGAATTAGAGTAAAGTACACCAGTTGGCACTGAAGTGCCATTAACTGGAGAAGACCTGCTGGATCAAGATGGCCACGCCCGCGAAGGATAGCTCTACGTAATTTAATCTGACCTTTACCTGCCCCCTTTCAGCCACTGGACCCCCAGTGGCAAAGTCCCCAGACAGTGACAGTGCTGCTTTAAATTCTGAAAGTGGCCATAAGCAAAATTATTGGGTAGGAAATTGCCAGTAGTTACCTTGATATTCAGAATGAAGTCTGACTGCCTGCATACTGACCAGGCTTACTGCTAAACACTTCACACTACAGAATAGAGGTGAATTGGCAGTGAAATGTGAAAATTTATGAAAAATTGTTAAAGGGACCAGGGCAACCAGCCTGCTTCTTAAGGCAGCAATTACTGTTATAAATGGGCATCCTTTCCACAGTCACTCAAACTGTTAAAGGGACACTATAGTCACCAGAACAGCTACAGCTTATTGAATTTGTTCTGGTGAGTAGAATCATTACCGTCAGGCTTTTTGCTGTAAACACTGTCTTTTCAGAGAAAATGCATTTAATGTGCATCTTTTCTAGGAGCTCTGTGTTGCTGGTGTGTCTGGGTGTATAACAAAGCTCCACAGCAATAATACTCACAGCAATGTGTCTGGGTGTATAACAGAGCACCACAGCAATAATACTCCCTGTAATGTGTCTGAGTGTATAACAGAGCTCCACAGCAATAATACTCCCTGTAATGTGTCTGAGTGTATAACAGAGCTCCACAGCAATAATACTCCCTGTAATGTGTCTGAGTGTATAACAGAGCTCCACAGCAATAATACTCCCAGTAATGTGTCTGAGTGTGTAACAGAGCTTCAAAGCAGTAATACTCCCAGTAATGTGTCTGAGTGTATAACAGAGCTCAACGGCAATAATACTCCCAGTAATGTGTCTGAGTTTATAACAGAGCCCCACAGCAATATTCCTCCCAGTAATGTGTCTGAGTGTATAACAGAGCCCCACAGCAATAATACTCCCAGTAATGTGTCTGAGTGTATAACAGAGCTCCACGGCAATAATATTCCCAGTAATGTGTCTGAGTGTATAACAGAGCTCCAGGGCAATAATACTCCCAGTAATGTGTCTGAGTGTATAACAGAGCCTCACAGCAATAATACTCCCAGTAATGTGTCTGAATGTATAACAGAGTTCCACAGCAATAATACTCCCAGTAATGTATCTGACTGTATCACAGAGCTCCACATCAATAATACTCCCAGTTATGTGTCTGAGTGTATAACGGAGCTCCACAGCAATAATACTCTCAGTAATGTGTCTGCGTGTATTAGAGAGATCCACGGCAATAATACTCCCAGTAATGTGTCTGCGTGTATTAGAGAGCCCCACAGCAATAATACTCCCAGTAATGTGTCTGAGTGTATAACAGAGATCCACAGCAATAATACTCCCAGTAATGTGTCTGAGTGTATAACAGAGATCCATGGCAATAATACTCCCAGTAATGTGTGTGAGTGTATAACAGAGCTCCACGGTAATAATACTCCCAGTAATGTGTCTTTAAACTACAATAAATGTGTTTAGAAATTGGTCTGTCGATAAAAAAAATCAGTTCTTGTTCTATATTACATCGTAATTATATAAATTGTTATTAGTAAGTCACCTAAAACTTCTCACAATAGCCCCGACTTTGGCCTAAAATGAAAGCGCCCCTCTTTGTCTATTTGAAATATTGTGAGTTATGTATTATCTTATCAATGTGTCTCTCTGGGACATACATTGCTTATATTAAACAGTTCCTAAGCAGCTTGACACTAACTGGAGATGGTGCCAGGACACAGCAGGGTGTGGTGGTTATATTACTTAGGGCAGGGGTGGGCAACCCTCAGCCTTTCAGATACTGAAACACCCATGATGCTCTTAAAGCAACGATTCAGGCAGAGCATCAAGGGAGATGTAGTCCACAACATCTGGAGTGCTGAAGGTCACCTACCCCTGATTTAGTAATGAAAAGTGACAATACTGATTTTCTATTTTTGCTTGGCATTAACTGCCACGTGAGATGCCAATCCTACTAACACCAAAATGTTTGTTACGTGCACATTTTAATATTGTCACCTATGGTAATATAACAATTGTCATTCATAATAACAGTATCTCATATAATTTTCTAGAAAAGTATTACATTTTTTAAAAGGAAAATGTTAACATTAAATATAAATATATTTATTTTACTGTAATAGTATTCCTCCCCCCTCGAAAATGTTTTAGCTGCTTCCCTTCTAGGGACTACTCTGTCTCTGTATTTCTTCTCTGCAGGAAAGGTAAGTTACAGCTTGCTGCCAGCCCCCCTCCTACACAGCCCATGCCACTGGACCACCAAGGAATGAGAGCCCCCCTCCCTGGCCATGTATCAAGCAGAAGGTAGAACCTAAATGTCAATCCCTGCAGCCATCATCCATGACGGCTGTAGGGAATTGGCTGTGTTTATGGAGGATCCCGCGGTCTTCCCCATAGACCTCAATGCTGTACTCTTGCGCATGTACTAGAGTGCAGCAATGACCAGACCCCAGCGGCGATATCACCATTGACGGGCTTTACAAATTCGACAAAGTCCACAAACAGTGATAGTGCGGCTTTAACACTGCATGTTTAAATGGGCCAACATCTATGCACAAAACCACCTACAACAAACTACTGAACTTCATTAAGTAGGTGTGACGCTTAGAGTGACCAAATATTCTATACTTTACAGCAGGGGTGCCCAAAAGGTAGATCCCCAGATGTTTTAAAACTACAGCTTCCATGATGCTTTGCCATTCTAAAAACATGCAAAGCATCATGGGAATTATAGCTCCCCCCCAGATATGCTCTTTGTCCTTTTATTGGCATTAACCATTTGAGAACTGAACTTTCTTCTGTCCCCAGTAGAGTAGTTTCTTTACTACCTGACAGCAGTGTGTGCACAGTACATTCATTCCTGTTACCCCAGGGGCAGTCAGGGCAGCCATACCCACCTTTAAAAGCAATGCCAGCGTTGTTGATGAGTACATCAATGCCCCCATACTTGTCCTTTAGGAAATCCCTGAGAGCCTGGATGCTGGGTATGTCAGTGATGTCCAACTGGTGGAAGAGGGGGGACAATCCTTCCTTCTCCAGGGCCCTCACAGATTCCTCCCCCAGTTTGGGGTTCCTGGCTGTGAGATAAACATCCCCCCTGAACTGCTTGCATAAGGCTTTGACTACAGCCAGCCCAATCCCCTTATTGCCCCCTGTGACTACTGCAACCTTTACACTGGCCATGATGTAACCCTGAGCTGCTGATGCAAGCTAGGGACAGGAGCTTAGGGATACTGTGCTTATTATAACAGAGAACAGGCTTGGTTTGAAGATCCCACCCATAAGGCTGGGTTGAGATATAAGACCACCCTAAATGGGAGGCAGAAACAGCACAGACTACTCCCCTACAATCTTAATGTTGATGTTCTATTCTCCAAACAGTGTATCACTTTGTCTTCTCCAACAGCGCCACCTGCAGTATAACTCATTAGGACCTGTCCTAGGCTCTTTTGAGATGCCTTTTTGGCAATATTACCATGCATTCAGTGTATTTCACCGTTTCTTTTTAACCCCTTAAGGACAAAGCCAATTTTACAAGTTCTGATTAAAGCAATTTGAACCATATGTCTGTTCAACCATAATTTACCTTGTTCATATTATGTACACCCACACATACTATATATCATTTTCTTCTTCATTTCACATCAAATATAAATATTTATTTGTGTTCAGGGATGTCTCACGAATATAACAGTACCCCCAAAAGTACAGGTTGCATGGTATTATGGAAGGATACAGGATCAAAAAAACAGCTTTCCTCATTTTCAGTTTCTATACATTGAAATTTGTCAGATTGGTTTGTTGGCCATATGTTGCCTTTGAGACTGTATGGTAGCCAGGGAATGAAAATGACCCCTATCATGGCATACCATTTGTAAAAGTATACAATCCAGGGTATTCAAAATTGGTATGTCCAGTCTTTTATCGTAGCTACCTAGTCACAAACACTGGCAAAGTTAGAGTTTATATTTGTTTTTTTGCATTTTTCCCAAATAAACTGCCCTTTCACCAATGATATCATTAGCGTTATATGTTTTACTGCTCTAAAACACTCATATTTGTGTTCAGTAATGTCTCGCGTATAGTACCCCAAATGTCCCGGTTTGATGGTGTTTTGGAAGTTACAGGGTCAAATATAAGACTTGCCCATTTACGTTTTCCCAGGAATGAGAATTGCCCCCAACATGGCATAACATTTGAAAAAATAGAAAAACCGATGGAATTCTAAATAGGGTATGTCCAGTCTGTGTAAGTAGTCACTTAGTCGCAAACCCTGGCCAAAGTTGGCGTTCATATTTGTTTTTTTGCATTTTTTACACAAAAACTGCACTTTTACTGGTAATGTCATCAACATGATAAGTTTTACTATTTTGAAACACTAATATTTGTGTTCAGCGAAGTTTCCCGAGTATAACAGTAACCCCCATGTACAGGTTTTATAGTGTTTTGGAAAGTCACAGGTCTAAATATAGAGCTTGCATTCAGGTCCTGTTACCGGAGGAATAACAGGAACAAACCGCAGAAGCCACACATAGAGATATGGACACAAGTCTTCAGGAAGTAACAGGTCTTTTATTTACACACCGATCGGGTCTCAGATGAACTCGTTCCAAAAATATCTGAGAGGCATAAAGCATGGTGCAGAGGACTTTTGTTACGAGCATATCCCCTCCCATACAGTATAACCCCCCCTATATTCCTCAGACCAATCAGCACACAGGATATTCAGGATCACCTTATATGGGCAGACCACATGGCTCATCCGAAACAAAGGAGAAAGGAGTGTGATTTCAGTTCCTGCATTCCTGCACATGCTCAGTATACTGATGACTCATCCAACTGTTTGTAATCAGATACTAATTAGCATATGCCAATTATTATTATTATTATATTAATAATATTATATAATAATATTATATAATATTATTATTATTATTATTATATTATTTAAGTGATACGCTTTTATGAAAAAGTGTTTATTTTTTATTTTTTTATAATTCTTTATTTTGCAACGGTATGGAGTAGGCAATGTACAATGTGTGGCTCATGCAAGAGCCCATTCGTTTTCCAGGTGTTAATTTTTCAAGCATAAATACATTACAAGATATATTCCGGGTTTGATATGTTTTAACTACATTGCTACTTTCATCCATTGTCTTTTTACAAACGAAGAACAAATAAGTATTATACAACAAGGAATGGAAACAAAATAAAAAATGAGAAAAATAAAAAAAAATTTAAAAAATGGAAAGAACTGAAGGCCGGGGTACCGGTCGTCTCGGCCTAACTATGGTGGTTGAGGGGGGAGGATGGGTGTAGAGGAGAGGGGGGGGGGTGTACTTCGGTCTGTCGGTTGTATTTGTATGTTCCGTCGGCTATCCCGTCGTCATTGGTCACTATACGTTTCCCAGGGCTCCCATGTCTTGGAGAAGGCCTTGGAGGAGCCTCGGATTTGGGCCGTGAGTTTGTCCATGAGATGGCATTCTTTGATCTTGTTGATCACTATTGCCACTGAAGGGGTGTCTTGCTGTAGCCAAGTTTGGGCTACTGCTCTCCTGGCCGCTAGCGTTATTTTATTGAGGAGTTGTTGGTTTGGTTTGGGCCAGTCCTTTTGGGGTCTGCCTAGTAGGAAAGACCATGGGTTCAATGAGACAGGTCTGTCTATGATTTGGGTTGATAGTGTTTGTATGGCTTTCCAATATGATTGGATCTTGGGGCAGTGCCACCACATGTGGGCATACGTCCCTTTCTCTCCGCAGTTACGCCAGCAGAGGTCTGTGGGTGTTTTTTTCATGTGGTACAATTGGACTGGGGTGGTATACCACCGAAACATCGTTTTGTAGGATTGTTCTTGCATTGTGACGCATATGGAAGTTTTGGCGTTTGCCTCCCATATGTCTTGCCAATCTATGCCCTCCAAAACCTCCCCGAGATCATCCTCCCATTTGTCTGTGTAATGGAGGGGGCCCCATTCCCGCGTGGTGGAGCAGAGGTGGGAGTACAGGAGGGATATCATGCCCTTTTGGTAGTGTTTGGCTAGGCATATTTTTTCGAAGAAAGTCAATTTAGCTTTGGCTGCTAGTTTAACTGACTCTTGGCTAGCAAAGTGCCGGAGTTGGAGGTACCTGAAGAAATCAGCAGGGGTCAGAGTCGTTCTATTTTGTAATTCCGAAAACGGAATTATTTCTTCTCCTATGTATAGTTGGTGGGCTCGCTGGAGATCTGCTCTCTCTAAGCCTTTGAAATCTCTAGGCCGCATGCCTGGGACAAATGCCCTGTTTCGGTATATGGGGGTGAGGGGAGAGGTTATTGTTGTAAGTTCGTATTTTATAGCGTATCTGTCCCAGATATGGATTGAGTTGGTGATGGCTGGGCAGTTGGTCCTGATGAGTGCTCTGTGCTCTTTAGGGGTCCAAATGTAAAACTGTGGGAGATCTGATTTCATTATCAGAGTTTCCAGGTCGACCCATCTCCTGGAGTCTGGAGGGGAATGCCATAGTGCTATTTGTGTGAGGTGGGCTGCAATGTAGTAGAAGTGCAGGTGTGGAAGGCCGAGGCCTCCTCTCGCTTTGGGGCGGTATAGTATATTGCGGGCTACCCTGTGTCTCTTATTGTGCCAGATGAAGCGGTCTATGGTCCGCTGTAATGGCTTTAGGTCATGTTTCGTAATGGGAATGGGTAGGGCTTGAAAGAGAAAGAGGATCCGGGGTAAGATATTCATCTTGACCGAGTGAATCCTCCCGATCCATGAAATTGGTTTGTCCGCCCAGGTCTCCATGTCCGCTATGAGTTTGGTAATCATTGGGGAATAGTTTAAGTTGTAAAGTGCCGCGGGGTCTGCCGGCAATTTTATGCCTAAGTAGGGGATGAAGGTTGGCGATATGCGTATGTGGTAGTCTGATGTAATTTGGGCAATTTCGTTTTGAGTGAGGAATAATGGGAGAGCACTGGATTTCTCCATGTTGACCTTGTAACCCGATATGGAGCTATAGGTCCGTAATAGGGGCATTAGGGCTTGTATGGAGTTGATGGGGTTAGTCAGTGTGAGAAGGACGTCGTCCGCATATGCGGAGACTGTGAATTCTTGGTCCGTTATGCTCACCCCTGTAATGTCTGGGTGTTCTCGGATTGCTTGTAGGAGTGGTTCGAGAGTTAATACAAAAAGCAATGGTGAGAGGGGGCAGCCTTGTCGAGTGCCGTTGTGTATGTTGAAGCGTGGACTGTTTGACCCCGTCAATTTTATTTGCGCTGTTACGTCTGTGTATAGTGCTCGAACTGTCGTGATGAAGGGGGGGGTATGTTTAAGTGTTCCAGCAGTGTGAACATGTAGGGCCAGCTCACCCTGTCGAACGCCTTTTCAGCGTCAAGGGAGAGGGTTATCGCTGGTGTTTTGGTTGTAGAGAGTGTCCATATCGTGTCTATGTTTCGTCTCGTATTTTCGAATAGTTGTCTGCCGGGAATGAACCCGACCTGGTCTGTGTGGATAAGGCGAGTGAGGTATGGGTTAAGTCGCGTTGCAAGTATTTTGGCTAAGATTTTACTGTCATGATTTATGAGGGAAATGGGTCTGTACGCCTCTGGTCTCGTATGGTCTTTATCAGGTTTGGGTAGTAGTATAATGTGTGCTTGCGTCATGTCCTTAGTTGGTGGGGATCCCTCCATTAAATTCTGGAATAGGGTTTCCATGTGTGGCAGCAGTTCCTCTCGGAATGTTTTGTAATAGCTTCCCTCATAGCCATCTGGGCCCGGGGCTTTGTTGCTCTTTAGCGAGGAAATGGCCAAGTTAATTTCGTCTTTGGTGATCGGGGCTGATAGTTCCGCTATGGCTGTGGTGTGGAGTTTGGGTAAATCAAGGCGTGTCAGGAATTCTGATGTCTTTTGGCAAGTGGCCGCGGTCAGGGTGCTGCCTTGGGGAGCGTGATTGTATAGGGCCTCATAGAAGGAGGTAAAGACTTGTGCTATCTCTGTCGGTGTGGATTTCATGGTGCCATCTGGGCCTCGTATGGATGTGATGTGAGGGCGTTGTGTTCTGGGGCGTAATGTGCGGGCTAGCAGCGTGTCCATTTTATTTGATTTATCGTAATATGTCCGCTTGGTCCATGTCAGTGCCCGTGCCGTATCGTCTATCAGCAGTTGTCTAATGGATAGGCGGGTGTCTTGCAAGTGTTGTAGTGTTTGTGGGTTTGGGTCCGTTTTATGGCGTTGCTCCGCCGTACGGAGAATGTCCAGTAGCTGGGTGAGCTTTTGGGTTTTGAACTTTTTTTTGTGTGTCGCTATCTTGATGAGGTGGCCGCGGATTACAGCTTTGTGTGCTGCCCATACTACTGTCATTGGGATGTCAGGTGTTAGATTTTCTGTGAAGTATGTGTTTAGTCGTTTCTGGACGTCCGCTACGACCAGGGGGTCTTTGAGCAGGGATGCGTTAAGCCTCCATGTCCAGGGGGTAGGGTTGAGTAGGCCGTCCAGATAGATAGCAATGTCTGCATGGTCGGACCAGGCAATAGAGCCTATTTCCGTTTTTCGAGTTTTCGTGAAGCCTGTTTGGTTAGTCAGAAACATGTCTATGCGCGAATAGGTATCGTGGGGGGGAGAGTAGTAGGTATAGTCTTTGTGACTGGGGTGTTGTGCTCTCCACGCGTCTATGAGACCCGTTTTACTGATGAAGTTATGTAGTTGTTTGTCTTGAGCCCCCATGCCATGGGATCTTGCCATCCCCGGGCGCGTGCGTCTGTCAATTGCTGGGGAGGGGGTGGCGTTAAGGTCGCCTCCCAGCACCACCAAACCACCAGGCAGGGACAGAACTGTGACTGCCATCTGGTTCCAGAATTGTGAGGATGGGGCGTTAGGGGCGTAAATGTTGATCAAGTGTATGGTTTGTGAGAATATTCGGCCTGTGACTATTATGTATCGTCCCTCTGGGTCGCTTACCACTTGGGTGATGTGCATAGGGCATCGCTTGTGGAGTAGGATAATTACCCCATTTCGTTTTTGGAAGGCTCGTGCCTCAGCGGCTACCCGATAGGTATGGTCGCGGAGGGAGACCTGGGCAAGTGCGTCTCTTGTAGGAACGCGATGTCCGGGTTGAGTCTCTTCAGTTCTCTAAAGAGCGTACGCCTCTTGCGCGGGGCGTTGAGGCCCTTCACGTTGAGTGAGGTTATTTTTATTGTCATGGTGGTGGGTTGGAAGCATCTCTCATGGGGTAGAGATGTTGGAATATGACGCGGGGCATTCCCCTCTCCCACCTCCGCTCCCCACGCTTGCTGCGCGGGCGGGATCTCCGCCGGAGGTATGTCAGTGTTGCGTTCCGTGACCGAGTTGTGCTTGGGGTAGGGGTTGGATTGTATTGTGCTGACGTAGATATTGGGATGGGGGAAAGGAGTGGAGTAGGGGGTAAGGGGGTGAGGATGAGGCACAATCGTACCTGTCTGGTCTTATGAGGTGCCAGACTGTGTGGGGGTACCTGGACCCTGGCCTCCTTCCGGTCTCTTGCCGTCTGGGGGGTCTGGGTCATGAACCAAGTCACCGAGAGTGACCCCTATACCATAAAACTGTCATTTAAACGATGTGCTGAGTGACGCTAATATCGAGGAAAGGTTATGGGTAGTAGTTTCCTTACTGTTATGTCCCAGTCTGCGGGAGGATTATGCTGCTGTGGTGGAATGATTGGATGGTCGGTGGACCTCCCCGTCTAGGTATGTTTAGATGCAGTAGTGCGAAGCGCGTGATAAGGGGGGGGGGGATGAGGATGGAGAGGGATGCGCTGCCCTGTTGGATACCCAGAGTTAGGACCAGGGTGTGTGTGGGAGTGTGGAGTAGAAGTGGACTATCCTGTTTTCTTAGTGCGGGGGTGACTGACAGTCAGGGTAAAGCGCTATAGGCGCTAATGTTAAGCCTGGGGTGAGGGGTGGTGGTGGGGGGGTGTTGTACCCTGTCTACCCCGTATTCTGTGTTGCACGGGCGTGTGGTACATCAGGGTTTGGTGTTGCGCTGAGCTAATCTCTTGTGTGGCTGAGTCCAGCTTGACCCGTACTACTCTCATTTCCCATGGGCACCTATATCTGACGCTATATCACCTAATGTGTTCCTTAGCTGAAGGTTCCCGTGTGGGATGGGATGGGTTATTGGAAGTAGGGGTGGACACATCGTTGTGTTTGAGCCAGGGTAAACATTGTAAAATTTGCAGTACAGGTATCACATATACATTCATGTTTATATCATTATCATTTGCCCTGAAGTAATGCTAGGTTATCTGTATATAGTGCATGGCTTCTCGCCCCTCTATGTGACCGGTGCATCATGTGACATCATCGTTAGGCAGTGGCATTGCTTAGTAGGTAGCCCTGAGGGTGTCCTGCCGTGACCGTTTCTGTACGATAGCGGTGCGGTGCCGTAAGTATGCGCCCGTCCCAGCGGCAGGGCCTGTCGGAGCGTGTGTGGTCTTGTTCCAGCTGTGATCCCTGATCATGTTGAGTGGTGTATTTATTGATTCATTTTTTTTTTTGGTATTTTTGTTTGGTGTATTTTTTATTAAATTTTTTTTTTTTTGGGGGGGTATTTTTGTTTGGTGTATTTTTTTAAAAAATTTTTTAAATAAAAACTTTAGTAAATTTTAATTTAATAAGTGTGTGCTCGTTGGTATGTCCCTACTGTGTGCGTGTCAGAGCAGCTGTGACAGGTTCGTATGGAGTGTATACTACCTTAGCCTAATGAGTCACATTTGTGTGTGCTGGAAATACATTACAGCTCAGTTGGCCGGAGGTGATGGCGGTCGTGTTGAAGGCGATCTATGGATAGCCTTGCTGTCAGTCCAATTAGAGTCTTCCGTAGTGCCTTTGCCCTGGGTGATGCCTCCTGCTGGGCGGTGAAGTGGCCCCATTGAAGCAGGTGAGTAGGTGTGGGGCAGTTCGCTGAGGAGAAGTTCAGGTGCTGTACATGGGAGGTAGACGGGTGTCTGTCGGACACAGTGTTGCTCCTTGGTGAGTCAGTAGAGGTTGTTCGGATGTGGAGAGTCTTCTTGTGCCTTGCTGTAGTGGGCTTGTTGCTTGTTGCGGTCTGCGGGTCCCTGAGGTGTCAGGCTGAGGGGTGATGCGGGCAGCGGGTGGGTCCAACGTTGTGGGCAGCGGTCCGGGTGCATTCTATTCCGCTGCCATGTGCCACTCTCGCGGCAGGGTACGGAGTGCTGGAAGTGCGGCCGTAGGCAGGCTGAGATTATTGGGGGGCACAATGCCCAGGTCTCGGAGGAATGGTGTGGGATTTGCTCCGGGTAGGAGGGTGTGGGGCCTACCCTGTTTCAAGACCATCAGCTTGAAAGGGTGGCCCCATGCGTATCTCACGGAGTTGGCTCTGAGTAGATCTGTCACCGGACGCCATTCACGTCTGCGCTGGAGTGTGATGGGGGCAAGATCTTGAAAGAGGGATATTGTTGCATTGTTATGCGTGATTGGGGTGTCTCTAGCCTTTTTCAGTACTGCTTCCTTAGTTTGAAAGTGAAGAAAGCGCACTATTATATCTCTGGGCCGTGTGATATCCTCTCTTCGGGCGCGCAGGGCCCTATGTGCCCTGTCTATGTGCCAGTGTCCATCAGGAATATCTGGCAGGAGGGGTCGGAGGAGGGCCAGTATGGTGTCCGCAAGAGGGCCTTCATCTGCTTGTTCTGGCAAGCCTCTTATGCGGAGGTTGTTGCGGCGCGAGCGGTTTGCAAGATCTTCTAGTGCGGCTTCTGATGCCTCCAGGCGGGAGGTGAGCACGTTGATGTGGTCTGTGGCAGTGTTATGTGCTGCCACTGTGGTCTCGACCCGCTGCTCCAATTCGGAGGTCCGGGCCCCCAGTGAGTGTATCTCTGCCATGACTGCCTTGGAGCTCCTCTCTATTTCTCGGGCGAGGAAGGATTTCATTGCCGCCATTTCAGCGAGGATGTGTGCCGTTTCGGGTGCTGGTGAGCGCTGCGTAGGGGACGGTGTATCGTCCGATGGTGTGGCAGGGGCTCTCAGATTGTCCTCGGCGCCATCTTGAGAGTCTTGGCGGCAATGGCGTGAGGCCGCGAAAAGGTCTTTCACCGTTGCTGCAGCTTCGGCGTGTTTTTTGGGCTGCTTTCTGGGCGTGCGTTTGTCCATCTTCAGCGGTGAGGGAGATGGCGGGGAAAAGCTTTAGAGAGATGGCTAATATTAGCTATTGGTATCGGGGTCGGTGAGGAGCGTTACACGAACACGTCCATCTTGGTTCCCGGTCAGGCCACGCCCTCGAAGAAGTGGGTTTTTAACGATTTTTTGAAGGAATGGAGACTGGGTGAGCATCTAACGGAGGAGGGAAGCGAGTTCCACAGGCAGACAATCACACATACACACAACACAGTCACAGACAGTCACACACACACGCCCACAATCACAGGCAGACAGTCACACACACAGAGTCACACAGACAATCACAGGCAGACAGTCACACACACACACACACACACACACACAGTAACTCATACACACACCCACAATCACAGGCAGGCAGTCACACACACACAGAGGCAGACAATCACACACACAGAGTCACATAGACAATCACAGGCAGACAGTCACACACACACACAGTCACAGACAGTCACTCATACACACACCCACAATCACAGGCAGGCAGTCACACACACACAGAGGCAGACAATCACACACACAGAGTCACACAGACAATCACAAGCAGACAGTCACACACACAGTCAAAGACAGTCACAATCAGTTACACAGCACACACTCTCTTACTTACAGTAAGCTTGGGCTGGAGGAGGAGTGGATTCAGTCCTTCCTGTGTTGTAGATGGAGAAGCAGGGACTCCTTCTGTGTACAGCAGTATGAGGCTACATTTACCTCCGCCCCCATGGCCGTTTTAGCTCTGCCCCCAACTCACTGTGCAGCCAGGTTTCCTGCTCCTGCTCCCAGCCCCTGCGTGTGAGCTCTGTCGGCTGCCCGGCGCCCCTGCTGCTATGGCACCTGGTGCAGCCACACAGCTCACTGAACTCCAAGCCTGGCCAGCCCTGCTGGCACCCCCTACCTGATGGCACCCGGTGCGGACAGCCCCCCCACTCCTTATGACCTGATTTACTACCTGCAGCATTTGACACCGACATACTGCAGGGCAGCACTTTCTGTGGATTTGTAAAAATTATATGTGTCCTAGAAGCATACATGATGATATGAAAATTCACAACAACACTGCAATGGTTGTAAAACAAATTCAATAATAATACAACTAAGTATTGAAGAAATTGCCATTGCAACACAACTGGGTAACCCCTATATCTAGGAATGTTAGGGGGTACTTGTGGACTGGGCTAGGAACCACTGATCTAGAGAATCAACTAGAACCAATTCTGGATAATTAACTAGACTTGAATTATACCAGATACAATTTCTTCAGGGCTGCACAATATACAAAATGTTCATTCACAATCAAAACGCTGTTTTAAAGGGATCCTATAGTGCCAGGAAAACAAAGCCATTTTCCTAGCACTATATGGTTAATAGGTCCCCCCCTCCCCCCCACTGGGTCAGGCTCCGCCCTCCCCCGACATCAGCCAGCAGGGGAGACCTAACGCGCATGCGCAGCAATGGGTGCGCGCGCACATTAGACCTTCCCATAGGAAAGCATTATTCAATGCTTTCCTATGGGGAAAATCTGACGCTGGAGGTCCGTGAGGATGTCCAGCATCAGATAGAAACATAGAATGTGACGGCAGATAAGAATCATTCGGCCCATCTAGTCAGCCCAATTTTCAAAATAACGGACCAAAAGTCCATTTAGATTCTGGAAGCTCTCTCTGTTAGACAGCCACAGAGGGCAGACTTAGAGCTGCAATGTAGACATCTACTTCTCTGGAACTGCAATGTTTTACATTGCAGCACTAAATGCAAAAGGGTCACAGCACCCAGACAACTTCAATTAACTGAAGTGGTCTGGGCGCCTACAGTGTCCCTTTAAGTATTTGTTTTTTCATTTAAAAAAAAAAAAAAAAGTATACACATCGAAGCACAATGAGTATAGCAAGGATGTTTAGTATATTTAGCAAAGAGGCAATCAAACAATATTTGACTGTAGTAGCCACAAACTAATAAAGGCAGTTATGAACACATGAAGTAGCTGATAAAGTTTTATTGGAATTAGCATATAAACACCGTAGTTCCACATCAGAGCTCATCTGACCCACTAGTAAGCCAACACATATGATTACCACTTCACCACTTTCTTTTCGCTAACTAGCTCCCCGTGAGGTGGCGTTGCAATAAAGGAAGTGTAAACATTAGACAACTCTTTACAGGAAGTGTTTAGGAAGGCTGTGCAAGACAAATGCAGGGAGGTGTGACTAGTGTTGCATAAACAAAGATTTAAATTCTAAATGGCAGAAAATTGAGTAGTGACACCGCAGGGCCATGACCTATACACCAAAACGGCTTCAGTAAGCTGTGGTTGTTCTGTGACTATAGTGTCCCTTTATGTTAATGTTAAAATGTTAATTCACAATCAAAACACTGTTTTAAGTATTTTTTATGAAAAAATTAAAAAGAAGACAAAAAAACTATACAAATCAAAGAGCAATGAGTAGAGGCAAGGATGTTTTGTAAAACTAGCAAAAATGCAATCAAACAATAATTGACTGCAGCACGCATAAACAAATAAAGGCAGGCATGAACAAACGAAGTGGCTGATAACATTTTATGGGAATTAGAATATAAACGATGTAGTTCCAAAGCTCATTTGACCCACTAGTAAGCCAACACATATTGTTACCACTTCACCACTTTCTTTTCGCTAACTAGCTCCCCGTGAGGTGCCGTTGCATCAGGCGGCAGGAGAGCCAGATAAACGGGAGTCTCGGCACCTTCATCTGGAGACTTTGGAGCATTTGGACCGGCCATATCGGTTCTCACCCACCCTGGGCAACAGGCATTAAGTATTATTCCATCCCCTTTCCTCGTTGCGTCTAACTCTCTTGCTTGGATCTTGGAGAGCACAGTCACTCCTATTTTAGATGTTCCGTAAGCAGTGTTTGGCCAACCTTCTTTTTGATGTATGTCTTGCTTGGCATCTTCTACAAACTTTTCCATAAGTTTGACCAGTTCCTCCTCTGTGATCGACTCACTGCGAAAGACCTTCTGTAACTCTGGGCTGCAACGTCCCAAAGAATTGTAGCTAACTATGCTGGAAACATTGACCACTCTCCCTAAGGGAACAGAAACATTGATTATATTATTAACATTACTGCAGTTCTACAGCACTCTCAGCGGTAAGAGGAGGCTCAGGATTCTCTGTGCACCATCACCTCTGAAATTCATTTTAGCATGTGCTTAACTAAGAAGATTCATATTTCCAAAGGATTATCACAGACCAATCGTTCAAAGGAACATTCCAAACACCATAACCACTATAGTAGTTTAACTTCTTACATAGGGTCTGCTTCCGCTAGCTCTCCTGAGATAAGCTCTGATGAATCTCAGCTGATGAGCTAAGCCCTGCGCCGCCAGAGAAAGGGAAAGAGCAGAGTACTTGCAAAGCTGATTTTAATCTTTCCCCAAATAAAACATATGGACACAAATACATGCATATTTTCTTCGTGGAATATATCTACTAAATTCTTAAAAATATATATATATAAATAATGTGACGAGAGCAATCTCGCCACATTGCATTGGAGAAGCCTGGTTGCTCGCCTGTTGCCTTTGGATTATGGCCCCATGTTAAAAGGCTTGATTTTCCCCTGCAAAGACAAGAAAGCCGGGTCATTTGGTGCTTGCCCTGTTTGAGCAGTGATACCCCAGATAGCTATGCCATGGAGCCCATTCGTATAATGAAAGACTATGGGAAAGACTTTGGCTCCATGGCAATTGAACTGTATGTGTGTGCTCTGAGCGCCATTCAGTAATAATGTGCGCTCAGACCTAAGCTATCTGGGCATATGTTGCATGTCTGTATTTTATGTCATAAATGTAACCTTGTGTATTTTATTGTATTTTACTGTCTTTTGCTGCCATGTGTTCAATGGAGTTTTGCCTCTGTCTTTGGAGATAATTGGATTACTTCTAATTATCTCCAGGATAGAAGACTCTGTGGAACTGGTTTTGGGCAGAAAAGCCATGCTTCCTGTGGTCACAAAGGACTACAATCTATCTTTTGAACCACTGGACCAATTTGTATGATTTTGACGTATGTTTGTATTTGGAGTATGCTGATTCTGAAAATGTAAGTTTTATGTGAATGTGATGCATACTTTTCAAGTTATGAATAATGTGGAAAAATTGTATTTCTCTGCTTGTGCTAAATTACATTACCCATTGTGTAAGGTAATTGAATCACATGCAGAGGGGAGGAATTTGTGTGGGAGTGTCTGAGTGTATTGTATGTGTTTATTGGTTGTGTTCCAAAACCCTGTGGGTGGTACTAATGTGTAAGAATGTGTACATAAGCACAATAAACCCACAGCTCTGTCTGTTCACTGTTGATTTTAGCCAATCCAATGCCATTTTGATTATGTCACAAAGGGGGCAGAGCCAGCGCCACAGAAATAAGGTGAGTTTTAAACTTTTATAGCAGGGCTAAGGGGGGGCAAGCCACCGAAATGGTGGGTTTAGCACTATAGGGTCAGGAATACAGGTTTGTGTTCCTGACCCTATAGTGATCCTTTAACAGTTAGTAAATGGCTTCACAATCTATTTCAGTCGAGGCACTGCCCAGGCACACAATGCAAATGAGGAGAAGCACAAGGATTGTATATTTCTTCTCTCTCTCTGTATGCTTTCTATATGCTGACAGCCAGGTGCAAAGGACAACGCTTATAACAATGTGTCAAGGAAGAAAATCTCAGGCACTCACCGTTAAGCAGCTTTAATGGATACTGCAACGTTTCAACATTTTCAACATGTACTCAGGTCTTTGTCAAGCTTTTTGTTTTTATTTTTTAACGCTTATAACAATGACTGACTAAGATGGAGGCTCCCAGCTTCAGGACAGAGATGTGTAGATTTCTAAATGAATTTTTATTTTTTGCACCTCTCAAACATTCATTTGCTAAGTACATGGGATAAGTAAACATAATATTAGAAATTGGTGATAATAATAATAATAATAATAATAATGAAAGAAAATGGTGGTACTACTCTAATATATGAGATAACAGCTTGTTGACTCAAGGAGGAATCTAGTTGCTATTTGAAGTAAAATAATTGTCTCCCATTTTGTGGCACATTTGGAAATCACTTTCTTACCTTCATATATCAACATCATAGTTGGAATTTAAATCTCTTTTCAACATATCTTACTATGTGATTAAGCAATTCTGGTAATCTCACCGTGCGGCTTAATTAATGGCAGCAGTTCCTTGCAAACATCCCTAGTGCCATAGAAGTTGGTTTTCATTGTGACTTCGGCTTGGGTACCAAATGGAGTAGTGTCAGCAACTGGTAGCAAAAACAAAACAAAACCATAATTATATTTAAATTAGTTGAAATAACAGTGTGCAGGGTTGCCATCAGACATTTTGGCTCCCCTGACACAGCTCATGGTCTTGGGCCCACTCCCGAGTCCTCCCACAAGGATGTAATTTGTTTGTGTAGTGGATATGTGTGTGTGTGTGTAGGTGTGTGCAATGGACGCAGAGTAGGTGTGTGCAATGGACGCAGAGTAGGTGTGTGCAATGGACGCAGAGTAGGTGTGTGCAATGGACGCAGAGTAGGTGTGTGCAATGGACGCAGAGTAGGTGTGTGCAATGGACGCAGAGTAGGTGTGTGCAATGGACGCAGAGTAGGTGTGTGCAATGGACGCAGAGTAGGTGTGTGCAATGGACGCAGAGTAGGTGTGTGCAATGGACGCAGAGTAGGTGTGTGCAATGGACGCAGAGTAGGTGTGTGCAATGGACGCAGAGTAGGTGTTTTGTGGATGATGTGTGTAGTGGCTGGGGGCTTGTAGGAGCTGGAGAGAGCGTCTGGAAGTTGAAGATTACATGTGCTGTGCCCCCTCTTCACTATACATGATGTCGGGGGCCTGCAGGGGCAGTGGTGAAACTAACGTAAGTGCCCTGGTGCAAGACTTTTTTGGGCCTTCTAGCACAAGGGTGGCCAAAATGTAGATCCCCATCTGTCGTACAAATCCCAGAATGCTTTGTCAGGTGGGGATCTATAATTTGCCCATACTTGCTGGATTGTATTTGGCACTGAGCAGTGTTTGTGCTTTTGAATGTAAGCATGTGTTTGTAATGAGTATGTGTGTGTGAATGTTGGATTTTGAATGCAGGTGTGCATTTGTGTGTAGTGTGAGACACACACAGATACACACAGATACACACACATACTCTGACATTCATACAGATACACAAACACACACACACACTGACATACATGCAAGTACACAGATATACAGACACACAGTAACACACACAGATAAACACATTGACACACATACAAACACACACGCAGGTGCACACTAACACACAGATACAGACACAGATACCCACACTGACACACAGTTTCCCGTTAAAGGGGCCTGATCGTGCTATTAGAAAGCCCCAGTGCATGACCAGGCCCATTAAGACATATGCCAATCGGGTGGTCCTAAGTGCACCAGCCACCCTATGGGTCTCTTTGGCGTGTGGGCACATAGTTCAACTGCTGCGCAGGACACACACACACATATATATATATATATATATATATATATATATATATAAATAAATAAATAATCGCTGTATATGTGCACATTTGGAATGTGATGCCTGGGCGTCTGGACTCCCAGGACAGTGGGACGTTACAGCCATCATGGTTGTCACCCCCTGATGTTGACCCGACAGCACTGTAACCCCACTCCCCCCAACCCCCGAAAAATGAATATTTCATAAAGATAGAATCCTTATAAAATACTATTTATGACTATGTTCCAATTTCACTGAAATTCCACCCCAATCAAGAGATATAGAGAGACAAAGTAGGGACTCCATGTATGTATTCCATTTGTCCTCTGCCTGACGTTCTTAGACTCATGGCGGAGTCTAAGTGTCAATACCAACAGCCATCACCAGTGATGGATGCAGGGAATTGGCTCGGTCTGTGGAGGATCCTCCATAGACCTCACTGCTGTATTCTCATTTCAGTCAATAAGTCACAAACAGTCCAGTTTTGTCCAAATATTCTATACTTTACAACAGGGGTGCCCAAAAGGTAGATCCCTGGATGTTTTAAAACTAAAGCTTCCACAATACTTTGCCCAGTCTAAAACATTCTAAAAACCATGTAAAGCATCATGGGAATTGTAGTTCCACAACATCTGGGGGTCTACCTTTTGAGCACCCGTTTCTACAGCTATTGTAACAGCTTGGCTACTTCAGCCTTTATTTTGCAATTCAGTATTTCATTCAGTGTCATTCATTGTTTTAGAATGAATTTTAAATTGTGCCCAGAGTTATAAGTATTATAAAACATGAATACTGATACAAAGTTACTGGTAAGTATTTCCATAGCAACTGCTCCACATAAAGGCTCCCCAGATATGCTCTTTGCCCTTTAATTGGAAACAGGAGTCCAGCCTCTCCTAACCCCATACTGTACATTATCACTATACAATAATACAGGGGGCATTTCTTACATGTAGTTTCTTTACTACCTGACCGCAGTGTGTGCACAGTACCTCTATTCCTGTTACCCCAGGGGCAGTCAGGGCAGCCATACCCACCTTTAAAAGCAATGCCAGCGTTGTTGATGAGTACATCGATGCCCCCATACTTGTCCTTTAGGAAATCCCTGAGAGCCTGGATGCTGGGTATGTCAGTGATGTCCAACTGGTGGAAGAGGGGGGACAATCCTTCCTTCTCCAGGGCCTTGACAGCTTCCTCCCCCAGTTTCGGGTTCCTGGCAGTGAGATAAACATCCCCCTTGAACTGCTTGCATAAGGCTTTGACTACAGCCAGCCCAACCCCCTTATTGCCCCCTGTGACTACTGCAACCTTTACACTGGCCATGATGTAACCCTGAGCTGCTGCTACAAACAAGGAACAGGAGCTGAGTGATACTGTGCTTATTATAACCGATAACAGGCTTGGTTTGAAGATCCCACCTCTTAAGGCTGGACTGAGTTATAAGACCACCCTAAATGGGAGGCAGAAACAGCACAGACTACCCCCCTTCCTGCTGTCATCTAGGACTTATTTTTATCAAACAGCGCCACCTGCAGTTAGAAAAAAAACTTACAATTCAATACAATACATACAATTAAACAAGCTGATTTAATTTTTTTTTTTTTATAATGGTTTAATCATTAAATCGCAGTTAATTGAAAGCCAAATAGCAAAATTAATGCCACCATGGCTACTGTAACTATTGCAGAGTTTGAAACATTTTCAAAATATGTACTTTTCCTAAACTTTTTTTTTTCTTTTTGTTGCTATAACCCCCTACTTTTTATTGTTTTCAGAATCGGGCTGTATATGGGCTCCTAAGTCTGAGTCCCACTAAGAATGCCACATGTTGCCAAGTACAGTGCTTGGCAATAGGGATACTATAAGTGGTGTGCCTAACGTTTTAGTCCTCTCCAATTGGAGAAACGTTGGGTAGGAGGAAGAAAAGAAATAATGGCGATAGCAGCTCTTGTCTTCCTTCCAGTGTCAGGATCCCTGCAGGTCACTACTTGGAAGAACCAAGGAAATATTGACCCGGGTGCTTGGGAGTAGAAAAGAATGTTCAGAATTATTCACTAAATTAGGAATTGTCAGGATTTAACATTTAAGGTCAAAATTGGCAAACTGACCTTGACATTGAAATTCACTTTGAATCCTTGTTTTAGGAAATAAGCCTGTTTTCTATAAAGACTATTTTTACGAAAAACACGGTGGTGAGGGTGCAATTTTAAAGGATCACTATAGCTTCCTTAGGACCCCTCACCCTCAGGGTCCCCCTCCCTTGGCGCTGAAGGGGTTAAAACCCCTTTAGTTACTTACTTTAATCCAGCGCTGGGCTCCCTGGGCGCTGGTGACCTCTCCTCCCCCGCTGACGTCAGCTCCCGAGTGGAGCGGAATGCGCTTCCAGTGTCGCAGAAGCGCCTCTAGCGGCTGTCAGGAAGACAGCCACTAGAGGTTGGCTTAACCCCAAATGTAAACATAGCAGTTTTTCTGGAACTGCTATGTTTACATCTCAAGGGTTTAAACCTGGGGGACCTGGCACCCAGACCACTTCATTGAGATTGTGGATTTGGGGTTTTCATGAGCTGTAAGCCATAATCATCGCACTTGTGACAAATCACGGTTTGAACTGTCTTGCTTTGCATGTAATGCGTTTATCTCATATATTAGTTTTCCCTTTTACGTTGCATTACTGAAAAAAATGAACTTTTGCACAATATTCTAATTTTTCGAGTATCACCTCTATCTCCAGTGAGGCTGTAAGTTCAGGTCTCACACTGACACCTAGTGGCTGTTAGAGGGAGCTATATTACAAGTAAACTAAATATGTAACCTCCACATGTCTAGTTTAGTGAGTTGTATGCTACAAAATATCCACATTTTATAGCAAATAAAGATCATGCAGCCCTAACAAAACTTGCTTTTTGAATTCTTCACACAGGGCCCTTAAATCATCCCCAAACTAACCCACATGATAAATCAGCCACCAAGCAAATCAACTGCTTACTGTATATCAACTAACAAAAATACAATAAAATATACTGGCAGAAAATAAAAATCTAAATAAATTACTAGCCATACCAAAAGAAAAAAATAAACCAATAGATATCTGCAAAAATAAATGATACTAGAGGGGTGGATATGTTTTCTTATTCCAAATAAACCCATACATGTATTTACTATTTTTATTATTATTTATTTATTATTATAATTAGTAATTTACTATCATTCATTTATTATTTCCCCACCAGTCCCATCACAGGCATGCTCTCCCCTAGACAGGCAGACAAACAGTTAACTGCTGGTGATGTCACTGAAGTAGATCCAATCAAGGCAAGGGGTGTGTTTAAAGAACCCGGAAGTGAGCAGTGTTTGTCCCACGTGGGCTGTAAACACTGTCTCTGACATTTGCTTTGGGACCATAGGGCTGTATTTCCATAATTAGTTAAAATTCAGCTTTTAGCCTCCTGGGACAGTATGGCTTATTATTCTGGTGCATTCTCTATAATAGTAGGTATGGTAGTATAATAATAGAGTCAGTTTGTGTATGTTTTCCTCTGATTGTATTTATAGAACTTTTTTTGTTGTTGGTGCCATTTTTGCAGGTGTCCTGGGGCATTCCAGCTCAATGTAGAAAGCAGTTGTAGAACCTATAGACGGTAAGCTCGTTTGAGCAAGGTCCTCTTCAACCTATCATTTCTGTAAGTTTTCTTGGAATTGTCCTATTTATAGTTAAATCCCCCCTCTCATAATATTGTAAAGCGCTACGGAATATGTTGGCGCTATATAAATGGCAATAATAACAATGACAACTAGCCTTAACCCAGCAACCTCTGCTAATCAATACCATGGGTGAATAAAACGGATCCATTGTACAGCGTTACGGAATGTGATGGCGCTATATAAATAATAAAATAATAATATTGGTAAAGTAGAAGCAGAGGTGTAACTAGAAACCACATGGCCCTATGCATCTTCCCTTCCCCCCGCCCCTCTATTTGCATAATCTAACACACACATACATACACAGAGACACATGCTAATACACAGACACACAGAATGACATACATTCAGATACAAACACTGACACACAGATACAGACATGCATATAGACACATGCAGATACACATACACAGTGACACACACACTGACACACATGCAGACAGATATACATACAGACATAAAGATAAACATACATACACGTATGCAGACAAACCGATGAACACACAGACACATATAGCCACGCATGCAGACAAACAGACACACTTAATGAGAAACCTTCAGATACACAAAATGATATGCCTACAGATATAAACAGTGACACAGGGGTACACTGACACATGCAGACAAACATATACACATACAGACACAGAACACACAGACCTACATACATACAGATATACATATAGACACGCATGCAGATACAGACACACTTAATGACCAACATTCAAATACACAATGACACACATGCAGATATAAACTGACACACAGACAGACACATAAGGGCACACATTGACACATGCAAATAGATACCCATACAGATACCCATACAGATACACATACAGACACACACATACAGACACACACACACAGACACACACACAGATATACAGATATTCACACACACACAAATTGTTAAAAATGTTAGTCACCCTCCTGTTTTCTACCTTTAGGTGCAGGAGGGTGACTTCCCTGGGTTCCAGTGGCTGCCTGATGCTGATGAATAATGCTTTCCTATGGGGAGGTCTAATGCGCACTTGCGGCCATTGCCGCGCATGCCCATTAGGTCTCCCCTGCCGACTGACGACAGCGGGGAAGGACCGTGGACGGAGCCTGACCTACTGCCGAGGGACATCGGTGCTGGATTCAGGTAAGTGTCTGAATGGAGTTTTAACCCCTTCAGCGACATGGGATGGGGGGCGGGAAGGAGGGGGGGTACTCCAGGATCCTCTAGTGCCAGGAAAACTGGTTATTATTTTTGTTGTCCCCACTCCCTGCTTGTTGCCTGGCCAGGGAGGGGGATATGACAGTCCCTGGTGGTCCAGTGGCATTGGCTGAGCTGTGGGGGGGCTGGCAGCAAGCGTTTACTTACCTCCCTGCAGCTCCTCCAGCTCCCCAGTGTAAGTCTCGCGGCATGCATACCGCACGGAGCGTTGCCATGGTAACCAGTGGCAACACTCTGACGGCTGCGGGTCTCGCAAGACTTACACAGGGGAGCTAGAGAAGTTGCTGGGAGGTAAGTAAACGCTTGCTGCGGCCCCCCCACAGCTCAGCCAAGGACCGCCGGGCTTGTAATGAGCCTGGCGGTCCTGTTATATATTATCGGCAATATCGGTATCTTAATTGGCTGATACCGATATTGCCGAAAATACAGAATATTCGCCGATAATGTCGGTAAAACTGATAATCGGTCGATCCCTAGTTTCTCTAGCATCTCAAGATCATTGTTCCAGAAAAATTTACATGCAAATACTTTCTCAAAAATAGCACACATTCCATAGATAAACTAATTATTTTTTAATACATGGATATATAGTTTGTATATATTTTTCATATCAGAAAAAGAAATTGTGCAAAGGAATGTCTTGAGCAATGTTAAAAATCAAAGAAAATACTATTATGCAGTTTGGATCTGCTATTTTATTTTTTATCACCTGTAAGAAACATATTCCAATTCGTTTTCTTATAGATATGAATTATTTGAAGAAAACAGGGTTAAATCAGAGAAAATTTGAAAAATGAGATCAAAATGTGGTCGGACTGGAAGACGCAGAAAGAATAAAGCAGAGAATGGATCCAATGCAAGTGGAGGTACCGTGGAGATTATATTGAGTAAAAAGTTAGTCACTTAGGATAAGTCAGGATTTTATGGCTCAAAGTGTTCATGAAAATTGTTTCATAATTACCGGAATTTTCTTTTTCTGATCATTATTCATGGCAGGATTTACTCATGGGTTAGCTCCTCCCCTCACAGCAGAAAGGACAGGAAATAGAACTCTGAAACTGGTATAAATAGATTCTCCCCCTTCAAATCAGGCAGTCTTTGTAACTACCTTTACAACTTATAGTATATGGGTGGGAACGTAATGTTCCAATTTTCCTTATTCCTGATCAATCATGGCAGCATTTACTCATGGGGAATACCCAAGCAGTATATATAGAGGGAGGGACAGAGTTCAAAAACAGATAATAGCTATAAAAACCATTGAGCTGCATAAACCTTAGAAGACTTTAAGAAAGCCAAACAAGTAATCAATAGGATATTGTCATAAAATCTGTTCAGACAAGTTAATTTACCCTAGAGGCTGGGAGGAAGGGGTTAAAGGCTTACCTTTCTCCAGCGCCGGGATTCCCTTGGCACTGGGGACTCTCCTCCCTCTCCCGCGAATGGACGCTGGCGTTTTCTCACTGTGAAAATCACAGTGAGAAGCGCGGATGCGCCTCTAGCTGCTGTCAATGAGACAGCCACTAGAGGCTGGATTAACCCTAATGTAAACATAGCAGTTTCTCTGAAACTGCTATGTTTACAGCAGGCAGGGTTAACCCTAGATGGACCTGGCACCCAGACCACTTCATTGAGCTGAAGTGGTCTGGGTGCCTATAGTGGTCCTTTTATCGCCAAACCTAGAGAAGGAACAAGGCTAGTCTAATAAAAGACAGACTCTCGTAAGAAATAAGGAACCCATCTTGATATGGATAAAAAAAAATTACAAAAAATTAGAGAACCTCCATGAAACCCAGACATGGTCCAGAAATTATAGATCTATTATGTCAACAATAGAAGATAATGTCCTTCTCTGATATAAATTAAAAACCAAATGGATGGCATCATCAAATCAGAACATTGACAAAGGCATAACTTCCAGAGATCATCCTGGAACAAGCAGAGACTGTTGGATGAGAACAGTCACACTATGATATTAAACAGGGGGAGAGTTACACTGAGAATCCTACTACTTTCTGGATGGATTTATTAAAGGCGATTCACACTGCTTCATCTTTCCTAGTGAACTACTTACCTGTAGATACAGGAAACAAATCAATATCTGAATTTGAGAAAGAGGCAGAGCCTAGTAGAGAAATAAGAGAGTCTGTTATTAAAACACTGCAACAATGACTATATATTGCAAAAATCAGACTCCCAACCATATCTCACACTGTGAATGAATTGATACAGTAATGATCAGTTACAGGAGAGGTAGAAACTAATAACGCAAATAGATATTAAAAGGCAAGAAGAATCATATAAAGATTGGTTAAAAAAAAAACACATATCGGTATGAACCGTAGCATTTGTGACAACTACTAAATTATAAGTAGGCAATGTAGGCCATCCACGTCAGTACCTACATTGAAAGTAAAACATATTGTAAATAGTACAAATTATGCCAAACAGTAGAATCAAAACGATTAGAGACTGTTGTGCAGTATAAGTAGGAGATATGGAATAGGCAGGATACCGATGGGAAGGTGGTAACCAGAGGCACATGATACATTGTGGTAGGGATCGACCGATATTGATTTTTTAGAGCCGATACTGATGCCGATATTCTGTGAACTTTCAGGCCGATAGCCGATATAATTTGCCGATATTCTGTACATTTACCATTTTGGAAAATAAAAACTATTTCTAAAGGTAAATGCACAAAATATACATGCCACGTGTAGTGGATACAGTGTGTTTAGACAGGGGAGCTGTATGAGTTTGTGTAGTGGATGCAGTGTATGTTTGTGTAGTGTGTGTAGTGGATGCAGTGTGTGTTTGTGTAGTGTGTGTGTGTGGATGCAGTGTGTGTTTGTCTAGTGTGTAGTGAATGTAGTGGATGCAGTGTGTATTAGTGTAGTGTGTGTATATAATGAAAGCAGAGTGATTGTGTAGTGTGTGGGTAGTGTGTGTAAAGTGAATGCAGTATATACTAAATGCAAAGTGTGTGTGTTTATGTAGTGTATATAACGAATGTTTATATAATGCAGAGTGTGTGTGTTTGTATGGTGTGTGTGTATATATAATGCAGTGTTTGTGTAGTGTGCATTATATAAACACACTATGCAAACACACACTGCATTAATTATATACACACACTAAACACACTGCAGTATATACGCACACTACACACACTGCATTATACACACACTACACAAACACTGCATTGTATACACGCACTGCATTATACACACACTGCATTATATACGCACACTACACACTACACACTGCATTATATACACACACTACACAAACACTGCATTATATACACACACTTCACAACACACTGCATTGTATACACACACTACACAAACACTGCATTGTATACACACTGCATTATATACACAGTGTGTTTGTGTAGTGTGTGTATATAATGCAGTGTGTAGTGTGTTTGTGTAGTGTGCATTATATAAACACACTACACAAACACTACATTATATACACACACTATACAAACACACTGCATTATATACACAGTGTGTTTGTGTAGTGTATGTGTATATAATGGAGTGTGTGTGTGGGGGGGGGGGGGCATTTTTTATTACATTTTTTTTTATATATATATTTAATATTTATTTTTGTTGTCCCTCCTCCCTGTTTCATACCTGGCCAGGGAGGGGGATATAGCAGTCCCTGGTGGTCCAGTGGTATTGGCTGAGCTCTGGGGGGGAGCGGGCATCAAGCGCTTACTCACCTCCCAGCAGCTCCTCCAGCTCCCCAGTACAACTCTCGCAGCCAGCGTGTCGTGCGGAGCGTTGCCATGGTGACCCATGGCAACGCTCGGACGGCCGCGGGTCTCGCGAGAGTTACACTGGGGAGCTGGAGGAGCTGCTGGGAGGTGAGTAAGCGCTTGATACCCGCTCCCCCCCATTACAAGCCCGGCGGTCCTAGGAGGTATTATCGGCAATATCGGTATCTGAATTGGCCGATACCGATATTGCCGAAAATACTGAATATCGGCCGATTATATCGGTAAAACCGATAATCGGTCGATCCCTACATTGTGGCAACAGACACATAAGCAGGATAGTAGAAGATATTCCGTTATCCTTATGAGAACAAACAACCGCATACTTACTCTGACCTTCAGATAGTGATGAAGTACTTATGGCAGAGCCTATGGTGACAATAAGATCATTCTGCAGCTTGTTTTATCTGCAAAGATATCAACACCAATTAAAACATATAATCCACAAGTATTAAATCAATGCAATGTTAGGAGTGACCGATCTAGGTACAGAGACCCTGTAAAACATATCAGCCAAATGTTTGTCATCAACAAGCTGCATTACATGATATTATGCAGGATGAATCAACCATTTAAATCCACACATTGGTTGCAATTCCAGATATAAGGACACCTAGAAGAATCCCCATGAACATCAGAACAGAGGTCCGTAATGGAACTACCTGTTCAGGGATTTCCTTTATTGTTCTGGTAACAGGTGAATTTTACCTGAAATAGTAAACCTGGTAGAATGGTCTGGGGACTGGAAAGACCTTCCAATGTCAATTAAAATACTTGCAATACCCAGCATCAAAGTTACCTGGAGCATATGATCCTAAAAGAATACCTTTATTGCAGAAAGGAAATTATAATGTCCCCCTTCACAACAGGGGAATCTGTGGTCAATTCTGGTCCTTAACCCCTTAAGAACCAAAAGCATGCCACCCCTGACATATATTATAGGGATTGCCAAACTCCATGTCCCCAAGGGATGAAATAGAATACTGAATATTACAAATAGCACATTCTTCAACTTATAAAGATTATGCTTTAAGGAAATTTACTCAGTTCTAAAGAATAATCTAAACCAATTCCAGAACACAATGCCTCCTTGCATTATCAGCACTCTTTTGTACAATGCATCCTTTCATGTATAAACTTAGCTAAATGCTCATCACACAAACCTCCTAAATGTGACCCATTTGTTAGAAGGAAGCCTAATGTAAGCAACTGGTAGGGACTGAAAGAACACTTACCTGAATAGCTGCAGGCCTGTTTTTCAGCGGCAAAATGGGGATTTGAACAACTGACAGCCTAAACTGTGTAAACTATAGGCTTCCATCTGTACCCCATATGCTGTTCATCATCACCAGTGGGAGAAGCTGTAAACCAAACCCAAGACAAGGTAGTCTCCTTATGGAAGTGCTGTTTACTGGGTCTTCAGGGATAAAGGCTTTCACTCGGCTGTGGACCATGCATGCAGTTTACCGCTGTCATCCCCTCAGAGAGAGAGAGATAGGTCAGACCCCTGGTTGCCGAAGGAGGTTCCCAGGCTGGCAACTTTTACAGATGTGCTGTTTGCTGGGTCTTCAGGGATAAGAGGCTGAACCCTGGCCTGGCTTCCTGTAGGCAGTATATCACATACATCCCCTGAGGGGGTACCCAAGCTGGCCTGTTGCTGGGTCTTCAGGGATAAGAGGCTGAACCCTGGCATGAAGTGGACCATTTTCATCCCATAAGGGAGAGGTTGGGTCCAACCCCCGGTCACTAAAGGGGGTACCCAGGCTAGGCACTCTTACAATAGTGCATTGCTGGGTCTTCAGGGCTTAGAGGCTGAACCCTGGCAAGGCTACAAAAATATTGCCTGGTGAGCATAAAAGAAAAAATCTAGGCCTGCATAAGCAGACTCCTTCCAAACTGCAGGGAAGGACAGGAAAAAAAAGACTGCCTGATGGGAAGGGGGAGGATCTATTTATACCAGTTTCAAAGTTCTATTTCCTGTCCTTTCTGCTGTGAGGGGAGGAGCTAACCCATGAGTAAATGCTGCCATGATTGATCAGGAAAATATAATTAATTTGATATATATTTATTTTTAAAGTGAGCTGTCACAAATAACGGTTAGGATGCAATAAAAGCAATAGACAAAAAAGTGTGGCAGATTTATAAAAAAATAATAATAAATTGCACCAAAAAATCACCGAAAATTAGATTTAAACTCGGACTGTATGTATACATTTTAATTTATTTTCTGGTGTTTTAAGGAGAACATCACAATGGTGAAAGCGGACCATGTAATAAATAGGCATATTTTAAAATACAGTATTTATATTTTATATTTTCTACCTGCAGAGAGTCGGAGCCATGAATATGAGTACATACAGTTGTGCAAGTGGCTGAAAGAGAGAGGATTTCAGAACAACTACCTAAGGCCAGTAGAATTTACAGGTAGGTATGTTTGTTTTGAAGCAAAAACGAGAATATGAGAACTCTGAGAAGCTTAGAGAAACTCAATGGCTAGCGGTTCGCTACATCCGCGCTCAGGTCTCAAAATAGTTTTTGCTCATTTGTGCCCTTACAGAGTACATCTATATCATTTACATAGCAGACTGATCCTGCACACAAGGACAGTCCAAAAACGGAATGTCGGCAAGCTTTCTTGGAATGAGACACCGCAACCTCAGACGATTGTTTCAGCCTTCCTTACACCTCGTCAGCGAGGTGTAGCTGACATCAATCTAGGTATAGATTGTGTGTGTGTATGCATATATATATCACACAGCACAAAAAGACCTGCACACCAATCTTATAATATGATGAATTCAGACCGATGCTTAGCAATACTATAAACAGCAAATTGAAGATAAGCTAGCACTCTAGGACTTTAAGAAACTAGTCTTCTTTATCCCAGCACAAATCCAACAGTCAACATTTCAGTTTAAATTTAGATCGTTCACCAGGACATGTTCTGATGAAAGTTCTAAATTTGAACTGAATGGTGACTGTTGGATTTACATCTGTTCTGAAGCAAAGCAGATTTACTGCTTGAAGAGCTGGAATCAACTCATTCCCTGGCTGGAGAGAACTTGTGATAAAGAACATTAAGCTCAGAGTAGTAGAATATTTATATCTGAGTGACAAAAGTAACTGATCTATTAAAACTCTCCAACTCCGCTATAGTTACAACCTTATTAGTTTAGCCTTAATTTTGACATTCTGATTTTTAATTAACTACAATTTGGAGTTTAGGGAATCAATATGAAATAGAACCTCTTTATATCTAAACCGTAACTGCTATGTTTACATTGCAGGGTTAATCCAACCTCTAGTGGCTGTCTTCCTGACAGCCGCTAGAGGTGCTTCTGCGACGCTGAATGTGAAAATCGCATTCAGCGTGCAGAACGTCCATAGGAAAGCATTGAGAAACCCCAGACAAGGTGGAATACATAGAAGAGGCATACCCAGGTAGTCACCTTATGGAAGCACTGATTACTGGGTCTTCAAGTAAAAGAGGCATAGCCCCAGCTGGGCCTCATGCTCTGGCAACGCATGCGCATTCCGCTCCACTCGGGAGCTGGCCTCGGAGTGGGAGGAGAGGTCACCAGCGCCGATGGAGCCCGGCACTGGATTAAAATAAGTAGCTGAAGGGGTTTCAACCCCTTCAGCCCAGCGGGAGGGGGCCCTGAGGGTTGGGGGGACCTAATGGTTATATAGTGTCAGGAAAAAAACGATAGTGATCCTTTAACTAAAGGTTTTATTTACACAATGTCACCTTCATATTTATAATTACTAGATGACCGTAAACCAGTTCTCAACTTGTCATGTAACGTAGTCCGTAATGTTGAAGTAAGCCACTTCTCCAAGTTGCCGAGAGCAAACCTGGCCAAATCGCAGATGGATCACTGCAAAGTTCAGTGATGTTGAATAAAGATGCAACATTCAGATTTATTCTTTATACTCTTTCAGATACAGGACGAGGGTTGGCGACAACACAATCGCTACAGGTTGGTGAATCTGTCTAGGCACCTTTTCCAGACTTTACAGAAATGTTTAAATTTTACTTCTTCTGTGTACAGTGAAGATAAAGATGTAAAATGTGTAAACTATGTCCCGAATATGCTGCAAGTGATATAAGGGGAGAAAATTGCCTTAGTCTGATTGCATTTTATATACTAAAATGTAATATATTATTTATTTATTGATTTTCATAGCCTGGTGAGCTGATTATTTCTTTGCCAGAAAAATGCTTGATCACCACAGACACTGTCCTTCACAGTTACCTTCAGAAATATATCAAAAGGTGAGTTTTTGATACACAGCACATAACTTGTTGATTTATTATTATTATTATTTTTTTATTTTTACATGGATTGGTTCTTTATTAATGTACTTGAACAATGGCGTTTTTATGCATTTTTTTAGGTTTCCAAAATTATTTTTCTTAGTGTCCTCTTATATTAATAACATTATCACCAATTCAGAAACCTATTAAATAAAAATTAAACACATTTGAAAAAAATAAGTTTCTATTATTCTTCAATCTGTTCCTCCTCAGATGGAGCCCACCGGTTTCTCCTCTGCTGGCTCTCTGCACTTTCCTTGTCACGGAACGTCATGCTGGTCACAAATCCTGTTGGAAGCCATATCTGACCTTGCTACCAGATAGCTACAGCTGTCCTGCTTACTGGGAAGATGATATAGTGTCATTTTTACCTCAACCTGTCAAACAAAAAGCCATGGAACAGAAGACTGAACTTCATGATTTTTACATGTCTTCCTTGCCTTTTTTTAAGTCACTACAGCCTCTGTTTGGTGAAAACATTGACAATATTTTGACCTATGAAGCCCTACGATGGGCTTGGTGTACAGTCAATACTAGAACTGTGTATATGAAGCATGAACAGAAGGACTGCTTCTCATCAGATAAAGACATCTATGCGTTGGCTCCATACTTGGACCTGTTGAATCACAGCCCAGGGGTACAGGTAATATAATATCTGAAAGCCAGCTGTTGATTGCTATGTAAAGGCAATGGTCTATAAACTACATAATTGGATTTAACATTGAAAATCACCTCTATCTTGTGTTAACCTTTTTCTGTGAGATCCACCACTTTCTCATTCTTTTCCAAAAGGTCGAGGCTGCTTTCAATTTGAAGAACCGGAGTTACGAGGTTAGGACTACTGTCAGTTGTAGGAAATATGAGCAGGTGTTTATATGTTACGGACCTCACGATAACCAGCGACTCCTTCTTGAGTATGGCTTTGTGGCCCTTAACAATCCTCACCAAAGTGTTTATGTAACAAAAGGTATGTGTATAATAATGACATGTAACTTGTTTCTTGGATTTGGCTGTATATTAATTTATTTGGAACTCGGATTAGATGGTTGTTTCTTTAATACATTTTACATGTTGGATTTGTAAATGTATTAACTCATGTCGTGCTTGCATTATGCCACTTAAAGTTCACTAGAATTGGTTCTGCATTCTAATCAACTATTCTGGAATCCTGTGAGGGGCAAACATGGAAATTTTGGCTTTCAGAAGCATGTTTGCACTAGATCAGTGTCCCCAAAGGATTACATTTTACAACGGAACTACTTTGACGACAAATCTCCAATCCAAAGTTTCTCTGAGAGATGTGGTGGTTTTATTGACATTTATAGATTTGTTAAAAATAAAAACAAAACAACCTCCCACCACAAAAAAACATACATAGAGCTGTATTAAATTGTATATGTCCATTAAAATCGAGACTTGCCATTATCGACTAAAATTGTAATCCGGCTCAGCTGACCACTGGTAGAGGTTGATGGGAGTTATATTCCATATGAGCTGTTTAGCAAGTGATTGCCTCGCTATCCCATTATATCAGATTTATAACTCCATCCAGCCTCAGCTGAATGAGCATGATAGGAGTTTAGACTAGCAGAGTTAGGATATTTCTTGCACTCAATTGAATGGGTCTTGAATTCCAAACGGAAAAGATTGTGTATTTTTTGTGTTAAACAGTAGAACCTTTAACACTGTCTGTAACAGGTCAAGCCATGGGCAGCGTGTCCAGGACTTCTGGGTTAGCATGCAGAGATAAAGACATTTATCTCTAGAATTAAAAGAAAGGTGGGAGGTACTGGGTCACTGTACCATAACCACTTCAGTAAGAGGAAGAGGTTTATGGAGCATAGAACAGCCCTTTAAAATGGTTATTTTTTAATTCATGATATGTTATTTATTTTTACATTTTAGAAGTCCTCCTTCGGCATGTCTCTTGCAAAGACAAACAGATGGAGAAAAAGTGCTCACTTTTGCAGGAGAACAGCTTTCTAGAGTAAGTTGTAATTTATTTGTTGGTATTCGAGCCCAGGTTCGTTTTGGAGGACAATGTGCTGGGTTGATGCCCTTTGATTTAATATTGTATCAAACATTACCATTAGTTTGGATGAATTTCCTCCTACATTGTAAGATTTATTTTGTCATTTTTTATACTTGTGATTAATTTTGATTAATGTGATTAATTTTGGATGAAAATGCCAAACGCATTTCAGCTCTTCTCAAAGATGCAACATATGTATCAAGCCAAAAATAGACTATAAAATAACTCTGCATAAGTGATATTAATGCTCCTTAACATATTCTAATCTAGCTAAATTTGAGGTTGTTTTTGTTTTTTGTTTTGGGGGTTGGGGGGGCCTGTCTAGGGTAGGAAATCTGGATTAGTAATTGTGCATCAAAGTTAGGGTAGGATGAGATATAATAAATACAGCTGATGGATGTATAATAAGTATAACATTATTACACTAATAATAAAACTACTAATAACATGTCAATATTATGTGCTAGTCTTATAGGCCTGATTCTTCCTACCCCCTCACCCCCAGCGTGTTGGTTCAGCAATGAAGAATAATTTGAACTCTGCGATGTGGAATGTTTAATACTTGGAATCTCCAAGCGAGACTCGTCTGGCTTATTGTGTGCAATAATGTAACTCTACATGTGCTGAAGGGTTTAAAGCACCTTTGTTACCCTTCTGTCAGAATACAGTTCCTGTAGCTCTCCAGGAATTATAGGAAATGCAGTCCAGTGTTACCAGGAGTGGGGCAGAGCTGTTCACCCCAAGTGTAAATCAATGCACTTCCTGGTGGTTTTATTAACTTATTTTGACAGAGGAAGTTCAGGTCATTAAATTGACAGTTGGTGAGAATAGGGATGTACACATTATCTCTAGATGAATCTAATAAAAAACCTAACATTTTTTCTCTCTCTCTGTTTTTCCTCCCCTCAAGGAATCTAACATTTGGATTAGACGGTCCATCCTGGAGGCTTCTAACAGTTGCAAAGTTACTGTGTCTTGGGTCCGAGGAATTGTATGTACTTTGTTCCTGGGTGGCAATCTCCCTTATTGAGTAACGTGTCATAGTCTGTCAGTCACTGCTTGGTTATTGATATAAGTTCAGTTTCAGTTCATATTTTAGTTATGAGTGAAACAACACAATGTGATGTTTTAGATGTTTTGAATGATCTCCTTCTATTCTTTTTCCTTTCCATCCTCCACTCAGAAATTGTCCACAATTACTGTCTTGTTTCTAGGGAACTTTTAATTCTTATTGTTGTGGTTGTTTGTTCTCCTCCCCCCATCCTTTTCGGACATGTGTAATTGATATGGGTTAAGTAGACTAAAAGTCGGATGGTTTATAAATGTTTCCAGAACCCCAAGATGGAATTATTTCCTCAAAATACAGGGTCCCTTGTTATGTATCTTGTATTCATATTGGTGTTAGTGTACTATAGTGGTTAATGTTTAGTGCCAGTATAGTTTTGGAGGTTAATGCTTTGTAGGGGGTTAAGGGTAGGACGTTACTGTAAGGGCAGCACTGTAACATATATTTCTCAGTGCTGCCTGAGATTAGTGTGAGTTGGCATCTTAGGCAGCAGCTCTTTCATCTGCTGTCATTAAAATGGCGGCATGTTCCACTTTGGGATTTAACTCCCACTAATCTCAGGCAGTCCTAGACATAAGCCTGTCTTGATCATGGTTGAGATTAGGGCCCCAGACTGCATTTAGGTGATTTCTAATCTTAACAAGGACTAATTGCATGGATTACATCACTATATGTGCAATACAGGAGTCTAAAACCCGATCTGCATGTTAAAATAACAGCCCGATCCTGTGTGTGTGTGGATTCTAAAAATGTATTTTGTGTGTGTGTGAATTGTAATCATGTATTCACTTTTGAAAATTTTAGCATGTGTTGGAAGAAAGTGCTCCTGGGAAATGCCATTTCTGAGTCCAATGAACACTCTGGATTAGAACTAGTGAGAAAAATCTGCCTCCACCTGCTGGAGGACACCTCACTCATTCTGAAAGAGGTGAGTCCAGCAATTCTGTACACACTGGATAGGATGCAGTGGTACTTGTGGTGTATTCTATCCTGGGCCAGATTAACATAGGGGCTGATAGAGCTGCAGCTCCAGGCTAATGCCTAAGGAATAGGCCCATTGATAGAATATTTATTATTTAATGCAAACTGCAAAGACTTAAAATTGTCAACCCACAGGTGAAATATTGTTACTTAGAAAGGAATCCCCAGGCTTCACGGGACACCATAGGCCCCCAGTCCACTTCAGCTCATTGAAGTCATCTGGGTGCAGTGTTCCAGGTCTCTTAGCCCTGAGCAGGTAATTATTGCAGTTATTAAGAAACTGCAATAATTACATGCTAGGGTTAACTCTACCTCTAGTGGCTGTCTGCCAGACAGTCACTAGAGGGACTTCCAGTATTTTAGGCGACTTTTGGTGCCCTGACACTGGACATCCTCATGCTATGCATGGGGATGTCCAGTGTCACTCAAAATCCCATACAAAAGCCTTGGATAATGCTTTCCAATGGGTAAATGCTAATGCACGCACATAAGGTCTTCCCCGCCGGCTGAAGTTGGCAGCAGAGGAGAGAAGGTGAACCTGAGCCAGTTCCAAAGGGACATCGCCGATGGACCCAAATAAGTGACAGAAAGGGTTTTTAACTCCTTTTGCAACACTGGAATGGGGTTTATTTATGCCCTTCAAATGTAGCCACCAGTGATAAAACATATTGTTGAGCTCTCGATGAACTATTAATTTTGTAGTTTTTTTTTGTGTTTGTATAGTATCTTTTTTATTTTTTTATTTTAGATTTCTTCTTTTACAAGTAAGAACATATTAGTGAAAAAGCACTTGGCTTTAGTTGAGGCCTTAAGGTTGGATGAACTGAAAATTCTTCAAACATCAGCAGATATCTTAGAGAATATGCATCGTGCTTCTCGGTGAAGAGAAATTCAGATTATGGAAAATATGTGTGGGAAAAAAATAACATAAAACAAGTGTGGAGGGGCGGAGCCGAATGGACGCTGCTCTCCATGGCTCCCAAGTATCACCGAGCAATCTGCCACACATCTCAGGTACGGGGGACCATCGACCCGTGAGACCCACAGCCACAGCTCCAGGGCTCACAAGGCTACCCACCAATGCCCTTTTTATATACAAACTCGGGCAAAAAACGCGTCCGCAAATCTCGGGCCTACCTCGCCCTCCAGTCGGCATCACAACTGCCAGCGGTATCCTTCCCGAGCCCTGAGGACTGGTATAGCCTGGGAGCTGACTACCAACGACCACCCAGCGACGAAATGGGGAGGCGATCACAAAAGCCACAACAAGCTGCACCCAGGGACTCACAAGACATAGGGGCCCTACTACAGCGCACTGCAGGCCACAAAATGGCGGCTGACCAGGACCAGGAGACTGGCTCCACAGGGACAGAACAGCAGACACAAAAACGCAGAGCAGACAGGAGATCTGAATCCCCCAGCAGCCCACCAACAGAAAGGGATGACTCAGCCCCAGCCACTAAAAAGGATATCAGACTCTTGCTGCAAGAAATGAAACAGAGGTTTGATGTTGAAGAGGACATACTAGACCTCAGACAAGAGGTAAAAAGCATGGGAGATACCCTGAAACACTTACAATCGGCGAACACAGCGCTCCAAAACACTCTGGACACCATGGAAGACCGCAGTAGACGCACACATATTAAGATCCGGGGAATTCCTGACACAGTCGGACCTTCAGAACTAACACATTACCTGAGGAGGCTCACTGCAACTATCCTGCCACACACACATGCTAAAAAGCCACTTCCGCATAAACAAGGCCAAAAGGGCACCCACAACGGCTCCAAGGGATGTCATAGTCCGCTGCCACTCCATGACAGAAAAACGCTGCATACTAGCAGCGGTAAGAGACAAGACACCGCTGACCTTCGAAGATTCACAACTCCCCTTTTTCCAAGAAATTACGCGGAAAAAACTACTCTGGAGAAAGTCATTGAACGACGTAACGGAACAACTGCGGAAAGGGAAAGTGGAGTACAGATGGCTGCTGCCGAGAACCTTGGCGGTCATCAGCGAAATGGAGGTCCTAAAACTTACCTCACTCTCAGAAGCCCCTGCGCTCCTCCAAAAACTGGGACCGACACAGAACACCTCAACGCCGGGCACAAAAACAGCCCCCCACTCATGGGACCCAGGGAGAACTGTTCCATTCTTTCCCAGGGGCAACAGGAGGCAGCGACCTGAACACCACATAAAATGTATACCGCAAATTTCCATGCTCTGCTGTTCTCTTCTCTAAGTTCACCCTACTACTCTCTCTACACCCCAAGTTTGACTAAGGCCACCCCCTACAAAGACCGAGATGTACACCCCCCCCCCTTAATCCCCTTTGGTTAGGGGTCGGCACTACCTACTGTACCACGCATAGCATACCCGACACAACCTACACCAAAGCACTGACAGAAGCGCGTGGCCCACACCGAGGCATACACACCACCACAAAAGGGGATAAACGACAACTTAACCAACCACCTTATGCCTCCCCCAAACTGCCAAGGAAGGTGCTAATCAACCATTTACAAGACTCTACTACCATACACACACTCGACATATTCACCCACACACAGACCACCCTATGGGTACCAATAGCATGGGCACACTTGACCCACAAGAAAAAAGAAAATGTGCAGACACATTTTTCCACTATGTTCTCCCTGACCACATAGACACAAGCTAACTCCTTCGACCATTGAACAGAAAGACAAACACAACATAACTGCTACCTACTCTTAGTTTCTATCAATATGCACCTGTAAACGTAGTGCCTAACTTTGAACAAAGCTATTAACCATGCTGATTGCCAATTTGTCTATGCTGATAAGGCGATGCAAGTATGTATGTCACAAAACTGAATGCACCGAAAATAAAGAATTAAAAAAAAAAAAAAAAGTGTGGAGCAAATGGCAATGGACATGACCTCTTCCTGATGATGACTCCAATTGTAGAACTGTGTTATCATAATTTTGAGTGTACATTCATAATAGTGAGCAATACAAGATCATAAACCAAAAATTAAAACTATACATTTTTTTTTAACCTAATTTCAGTTGTGTGATATCTGCAGGGCAATAAACTGGCAAGTGGAGCAAATTGGAGGTGAGGCGCTGGGGTAAGGGGGTTATAGTAAAATAAAGAGGTGCAGATGTACCCTGTGTGTTCACTAAATGATGAACATTGTCAGTCCAAAGAGAATACACCAATGCATGCACACTCACGTGATGCTGTGTATATTCACACCCTTCATTCACACACTGATACTCTTCTCAAATACGCCACTTCATTCACACACTCTGACACTCCATACTAACACTGTTCTTGAAGTATTATCTTCTCAATTTCTGACAAATGAATATGCAGTATTTGGCAGCTGAACATCAGGTTATTTTACTGGTCATGGTGTAACAAGAGGTAATGGATGCTATTCAGTGGTTTACTGTCACGGCTCCTACACCCTTCCCCTTAGCAGCCACCCTGATAATTCAGAAAGTAGATCTCCATTATAATGTTTTCCAATATTCCACAATTCCTGGTAGAGTGAATAAACTCTTGCTTAATTATGTGCGTATACTGACTGCCAGAGACTACAGTATAAACATTGTCCTGGAGTGTTGATTGTTGGTCTATCCCTGCATTCTTTAATTTGACCGATTTTGAAATTAATTAGCCGTGTTTTACTGCTATGTTGCTTCACTAGTTGTTCTTCAAGTCCTGTGTCTAAATAAAGCATCAGTTGAGGATACACTAGTATTAAAAAGACAGTTAAATGTAGTGGCAAGGTTTACAGTACTGTCACTCAGCCAGCCACAAGAGGAATTTCCTGTATAAAGTCCTGCAAACATTGCAGGACCAATGTTCAAAGTCTCTATGCTCTGCATACTGGACCTCCAGGGAAATAAGGTAAGTAAATATATTTATTTTATTACCACTGGATGGTCCAATAACCTAAATGGCTAGTATAATACATATTTGTATTCCTAACACTAGAGTGTTCTTTTAACTTTGATTTTATTCCTTACACTGAGTAAGTGTTCACAATTTGAGGGACATGTTTAAAAGGCTTAGTGTCTTGCTGTTATGTTTTTGTCCTCTAGATGTCACTGCACACTATGGTTTTCACTCGTTCTTTACCCACACACATTGTGTAACTTTTGAACTCTTAGAATTTATGAGCAGTAATGAGAGGAAATGGTTCACACATTATAAAGCATGTAGCAAACCTTCTAGACTTCCCATGAGGTCAGCTTGAGAAATAAACTGTGCTGAGCGTTCCCGTATTTCACGGCAGAGTGTGTCATGACTAAGCCTGTACTTGGCAGGGACTGGTAGCTGGTCTGTTGGTGAGAGTGTAGCATGCATGAGGTCCTGCATGTAAACGGAAAAAACAGATCTTGTCACTAATCTGTCTTACACCATTAAATGTATCGAAATGAAGAGATTTAACTCCTATTCTTCAACAGCGCCTTACCTCTTTAAATTCTAATGTTATTTATAAAAGGGCTGCCCCCCTCTCAACGCTATCTCGATGAGGATTGTAGGAGTTGTAGAACAACATCACAAGTTATTTTGCAAAACTTAAGTTAATTGTGGTATATTTACTAATATGGCAGTTACAGAGAATTGTGTTAAAATCTTAAAACAGATTGGACATTTTAAACCAGCACATTTTGTTTTAATTTCATCCCAACATACTGTATTTTTTTTCTTCTAGTGGATGTTTACACCCCCCCCTCCCCCTCCTCAAAATTTTCTTTTCTATTTTTTTTTTTTTTTAACTCTTCTTCCAGCACGCAGTGATTTTCATATGACCATTGTGTTGCTTTACTGCCATTCTCCAGAACCTCCTGGGACTTGCAAACAAAGGAAAATTAAAAAAACCCTACAATAAGACAGATGAGGATATGTTAAGACCTATCCTTGCCTTTAATGTTATTTTCCCATCTCTCTACCCATGAACAGTATGCTTCCCCTAAGTAGCCTGGTAGAGAACTATACTGCTAAACTACTATTAGAATAGACCGTTGCCTTCAGAATAATAAAAAACACCCTAAGCACCATAACCAGCTCTCCAATCTTTTAGGAATGGTTTCACACCTTACCTAGGTAATGACCGTCCCATGCATCACTGCTTTCTGGATTCTTCTGATGGAGAATCTGTTTTGCATCACTGAGCTACGCAAGGTCCCTCATTGACTGAGAGCACCAGCTGAGTGCTCTAAACTAGGGCTCTCAAAACTCTGGAACTCCACATATTGCTGAACTACAGCTCCCATGCTTCTTTGAATGAAATAGCTATCCAGAGAACCAGGGGAGTTGTAGTTCAACAACATCTGCAGAGCCTTCGTTTTGAGAACCTTCCAACCCAACAGGCTCAACCCAAGGAGTCATCCTGCATCCATCCATTTTATTTTTGGGACACATGAATTGTTCGCCAGGGCTTGAAAGAAGCAAGCGCGTTTCGCATACTGCAGGACAATACAGAATTTCCAAGTTTCCTGGGGAAAAAATGGCTAAGTGATAGTAATTATGTATCTAAATCCTACCGTTCTCTCGTTTTCTAACTTTCATGACATGGATCACGAGGAATGTTTGTGTGACAACCAACCACCGAGAAAACCCACCATCTTCTATCACCATATTAACTGCAACCAACTGCTTACAATTCCAAGAGATATTTTACCTTCTAGAGTGAAATCTGGACCGTACCTATCTAGAGTAAGAACACCAAGCCACATTTAGGCAGCTACCTTCAAAGAAATCTAAGTACCCACGTCTACTAGGTGCTCATGTGTGATGATTAAGTGTAAGCGATCTAAAGCTGCAGATGTTTGAGGAAATCCCCTAATTTGCAAGTGAGTAACATGGGAACGATGTGTGCTACTTTGGTCTAATTCCTTAAAGTGTCCACTGGGTGGTGCACTTTAACTGATTAAAAGAAATTCTGCAATTCTCAAAACAGTAGCTGAAAAGGACTTAAAGGAACACTCTGTTAAAAAAAATGCATTTATTGAGAAAGGGGAAGGCAGGCGAGCACCATCACAGCGCACCTGCCTCTTACATTAGCTCTGTGGAGCTAACAGAAGTAGTACAAAACCTCTCCGGCTGTCTGAGTGACAGAAGATATTTCCACCCCCGATTATAGCAGATGGCTGGCTGGTCTTTCTGCCCCAAGTTATTAAAGTGCAGATTTCTGTTGAATTGTCAAGAAAATGGCAGACTCCATAAACATAAAGATGTTGGGAGGAGAGGCCTGACTGATGAGCTCTTATGATTCTATATGAAATAAGCTATTTTTCCAAGCTAATCCAATAGTTTTAGCTGTTCTCTGCAGATCTATCAGCCCAGGGAGCACCCTGAATTGCCTCTGAAAAGAATCTTGCCAGAAAGGTTGGATGTTTCCCAGGAGTGCTCAGGTTGTGGCCTTCTGACTTACTTAAAGAAGTGGAGGCGGCTGATCCCCTGCTCTGAACAGATTGTCCATTTGGTTGGGCTTCCACCCCAACACCCTTTGGACTGGTCGGTGTCATTCCAGTCCCCACTGAAGTGGATTTTACTACTTACCTCATAGCATCTCGTTTCTTGGCTCAGTTACAGTAAGAGGTTTGATTATCAAAATGGCGTTCACCTCTGGGCCTACACTACAGAGCTCCTCACTACTGCATAGTCAGAATACAAGTTATTGATCACTTTTTGGTGAAACCTGAGCAATGGCTCACCAGCTTTGTGGCAAGCAGGATGTAATTCAACGCCGTCTAACCACCTTCAGGTCTCTGACATGAACCTCTCCAGTCTATCTCTTGGGCTGGAAGGGGGCTTGTTTCCTGAATGCAACTCACAATCTAGGAGGGTCCCCCGTCAACACTATCACAATGTACTCTCCCAGGCATAGATTTGGTCACCAGGAGCTATCTGATCTGTAGGCACAGCATGTGGGCTGCACTGGTGCCCTGGGCTGATTATGCTCCCTACCCTGGGAATAGGGTAATTCAGGATCTACTGTGACATTGTTTCCGTCAATCTCCTTGGTGTCGGAAGGGGATGACGAACCTTTACTCATGCTGATAGCACTCAAAAGTCTTATTTCTGACAATTAACACGTCTTTGCTATCTTCCATAGACAGGAAAGGCCTTTTTGTGATGTTACAGATTCAGCGGTTTTATCTTTTTTTCTTTTATTTACTTAAGTATGTTTAATCTGATGTAATTTTCCTTTTCATTAATTTAAAATGCGGAGTTATAACTCTGTGTATGTCGGAGATCGTCTCATTATATTATATTATGTTCTGCATTATTCTTGTGCTTTTCATACATATGTGAGAACCATATGCTGATGTCCTGCAATAGCTCTGTCATACTTTTAGAATTTGTTGTACCAATACTTATGTCGTACCAATACCTAAATAAAAAATAGATCGACTGAAAAAAAATCTAAGAAGTTCAGCAAGCTGAACACCTTTAATACTCCTTAAATATCTGTCTTCCGCTCTGAGAACCGAGTCAAACTCAAAAATTAAGCGTAGTGCCCAGTGGGTAATTTAAGAGAAGAAAAATACTTTCGTCCTTTTACAATGACAGTCATGGAGGAGGTTGAAGTGAAATTAATAATATATATTCTAAATAACTTATAAAACGCAAAAAAATCAGTATTTCGATCCATTTTACATAATTAATGATGCATATATCATTTTTTTAATTACAATTTTTTACATAAATGCCATAACTTTGTTGGAACCATCCACAAAAAGACGACAATAAGTTTGAATCTGTTGGATAACTAAAATCTCGCACTCGGTCAGAAATACACAACTTGGCGTGCAGAACTGGGTGCGTGCAAAACCAGAGGAACTAACAATTGAACACCTGCGGATTTCATCTTTGGAACGCATTGAAAAATGTACAGAATTCACACTGACCTACTCCACGACCCTTGGCTATTGTAAACGCCACCTCTTATTTTGATTAGTTGTTTTTTTGAAACTTTTTTTTTTACGCACTGGAAAACTAATACCGAATTATAAATTGTATGGGAGCATCTGCAATTACCAACCCATGTATGAACGTACAGTAAGCATATGTCTTACCGGTGGATGAGAAAGCGATGTAAATCGCTTCCTACAAGCAGTGAATAGAATTAAAGACTTTCACATTTGATAAACATTCTATGAAAAACATGCTCCGAACTTGGTCTGGTTTTGAGTTTGATAATAAGGCCGTATTTCGGTAGCTCTCAAAAAGCGTTTTCCATTAGCATGAGACGCTCTGTTAGAGTTAATCACAGCATCGATAATTGTGAAGAATTGACAAGGAAGAGCAAATTGTAAGAAAAATATAGCTGTACTGGGAAAAGAGCCAAATTGGAAAATGTTTCAAGTTTAGCTATTTTGATGTGAAATGTGCCATTTCTGTCACTCCTCCACCAATCCTGATTTAGTGAATAAAACCAAAGGTGTCAAAAGGTGATTCCAAATTTCTGACCTTGGACAGCCCCAGGCCCCCAGATTATGATTGAATCCAGTCTATCTGGCTTAACGTGCTACAGAATTTAATTGTGTGGTTTTGGCAATGTTTGCTTTTATGAAAACATGAAATTAAGGCGATAAAAAATAAAGTAACTCCTAGATTTCTGCAATTTGTTGTAGTTTACATTCTCCACTTGTTGATGAGTCTAGAACCTGCTGCTTTACATTAAGAGGTGACATGAACTGCAAATGAAAAGTGATCCTTAAAGTACACACACATGAGTGCACATATACATCCAAGCTGAACGGCAGTAACAATATACAAAAACCTATGCCTGGAAGAAAATCCATAACACCTTGCCAGAAATAGTGCCAATTACTTGATACTCTCAGGAGTGACAAAGTAACTAGATATTTGTAACCAAAAATATGATTATATTAACAGCTTGCCAACTGACTGTAAAGCCACAGGATTTCAAGCGACACTTCCTCCCTGCCCGAAAAACAAAACTTGTTCCAATAAAAGTGAATTATCTGCTTGGTATGGACTCCCTTTGACTTAAAAAAATAGCTTTATTAGATATGCCTTAAAATGACTTCACTACTAAATGTAACAATATGTACACTTGATTCAAACAGATACGTTGAATGCCATGTACCGATCAGAAATTAGAATCAACGCATTTCGCGTCTCACCCTGTACTGAAAATTCACTTGAAGTGAAAGGAGTCCACACCGCAACAATTCAGTACTTACATGAAGTCCATACTGAGGTTTTAATTCATTTTTGCTGGAACAGTTTACATGTTTCACACGTTACTGGCACTGTATAAATAAACGTTAATAGAGTTATTATAGCATTGTTCGGTGTTGGTGACAAATGCAAATCCAGCGAAATTATTTTAAGGAGCCCTGAAACGGTAGATGTTAAAATTATAATCTTTCCAATAAATCTCATTTTAGCAGCATATTACGAGACGCGCACATGTATGTTGGAGGCATGGGCTAGAGTGTGCTGTGATTTGTTTTACCTGCAACTTGATGAAGTCATGTTCTCTAAATAAAAGTTCAGTTTATTTTCTTCCTGACAGAATCTTCTCTTTCGTTGTGTATTGTCTTTAAGAGAGGAACGTCAGCTGCAAATGTGTGGAGTCTGTCGTATTCTTTTGATCTGCCATATCGCACCTTGACATTGTTTTATCAGATCCTTTCATCTTTAAACAAAGAAGGCTTTTATTTAAGAAAAACTGAAAATCTCCTGCCAAACTAGCTCTGTAAAAGTAAATGACTAAAACAGTGAGATTTATGTATGCAAATTGGAGCTGTGTTTTTACAACAACAACAACAACGCACGTTAAGGGGGTGTTTGAGAGGATTAAAGGGTGCACAGTCCTGGTAACCCAGCAAAAACATTGCTCAAAGACTGTGTAGTTCCAGGGGCACTGTAGAAGACGGAGAGAAAGTGCCCGCCTTTCACATTATCATCACTATTTTTTCCTTCCAAAATTTAAGAAAAATTTCAGAAAAAGTCTAAACTACAAGTACAAATATAGGGATCAAAAGTCCAAGGAAAGAGGGGAAGGTAACTGTCACGATGTCGGGGACCCCGCGGGCGGCTGCGAGGGGAGGCTGCACTCCGCTCGCGGTACTCACCCTCCAGCCGTCCGCGGTCCCCTCCTCCTCGTGGGTCCGGCGAGCAGCATCCTTCCAGCCTCGGATGCCGCCCACCATTTCCTCCACGTCCCCCAGCGGCAGCATACATGACGCTGCACGCTGGGAGACCGCCCAGGTTTATACACGCCGGAGTCAGTCACCTGACCCGGCATTAAAGGCACAGTGCCTTAATCACAATGGGAGGTCCAGATATCTCCCACGTGTGATTGTTAATTCTGATTGGAAATTATCCAATCAGAATTAACCTTATGGTTTAAATACTTACCTTTCCTGTTCCTCCCTGCCCTGTTGTGGTCTTTGCTTTCTAGTATTGCTACTTACCTTGTGCTTCTGGTTACGTATTCTCTGGCTTGTTTATCTGACTTTGTGACTTTCTCCTACCCTTTGACCTCGGCTCGTTTTAACGTTATTCTGTCTTCTGGTTCCCCTTACTCGGCTTGTCTCCTGACTATTCTGTGTGTGCTTAGCCCGGCCACTCTAAGGTCCGGTACGGCACCTTTTTGTGTGTGTGTGTGTGTGTGCCAGCGTGTTGGGTTCCCCGAATCGTGACATTACAACAGGGCCATAATGGAACCTGCTGACATACCACAGCTCCTAGTTAATCAAGAGGCTAGAATGGATGGCTTGGACCACCGTATGGATCAGTTTGCTCAAGCTCTGCAAACCATACTGGCTCGTACTGCACACTTGCAACCTGCCGTTCAGGAGGCTGCTGCTGTTGTGCCTGA